TCTTCTTTAATTACTAGTCAATTTAAGTTTGGAATGTGAATAATTGTATTCTTGGACATAATTCTTTCAACATTATCCACAATTTGAAGTTATTATTGTCTTAAATTCTTCTAGCTTATTTATGCATATGCAAACTAATCAGAATATAGCTATTAATATATTCTTTTTACACTCTTCCTGTTTTTTAATAAAAGATAGCATCCCATACTCACTGTTCTGCACCTATCTCTTTTCACTTGGAAATCTTCCCATATTAATATATAGAGAACTTCTTTATTTTATTTTATTTTAAACAGTTGTATTGTTTCCCACTGAGTGTGTCATAAATTATTTAGGCAGTCCTCTACCCATTGACATTTAGCTGGTCCCAATTGTTTGTTGTTTCTGGGGAGATGGCAACAAGATCCAGAAGGTTTAGACCACTGCTACCCTCCACCAAATCCTTCAGCAGGTTTTCAACATGTTTAGCATAAGAGGCTGTTTGGAATGAAATTATCCTGAAGAAAATCTTCCTGGACCTGATCAGCATTCGAAGACCTGGAGACCAGCTTGTTGTCAGAGTTGGGAGTGGAAGGACTCTCCTAAGCTATGGAAACCCCATACTGGACCTGAAGATGTACTTGCAAGGACTCAGTCTCTCCGTGGAAATGAAAGCAGAGAGCTGGTGTTCCTGGGAATTTGTGAGAGGAAGAAATCACGGTACCTTTCTCCTTTTTAACAAGCTTCCAAGAATGATTGGCAGCCAAGGAATCAGTTCTGTGAAAACAATTATTACAGACCAATGCCATTCATCATTTCAAGACTTTTTTTTTCTGCCTTCATCATGAAATAAATTTGTCACAATACTTATTGGTATGCTACTAAGCCTCCTCCCAAAATTCAGTTTTGTGTGCCCAATACACTAGTAAGCCAAACTCTGTGACACTGGCGGTTCGAGAAAAAGAAAGGATTCAATTTGGCCAAAGACAGAGGACAGGAGAGCAATATCTTTCAAATCTGTCTTCCTCAAAAAGCAAAAGCACGGGAGTGTTTTTGTGGCAAAGAAGTAGGGGACAGGGGGAGTTTCAGAGAACCCAAGGGAAAGACCCTTTCTTCAGTAACATAACATTTTGTGCAACCAAACTTCTGGGCATCTGGACCTCAGTTTCAGAAGGATTTTTTCTGTGGGACTGTTCTGCTTTCCTGGGTCCACAGCTAAAACACAACTGAGGTCAAGATATTACGTTTCACTCTGTCTCAGTAGTCAGCAGACCCAGGACCTTGTTCCTAAGACTATTGGTTGTTGAGCAGAACCTCATTGTCCTGAGGACTTCATGATTACACAACAGAGAGGGAGGTGAATGAGGCAAGTGAGGTGACGGGGAAGGGGATTCAATAAGAATAGGACCACAGTTCTTTAATGGTATTCACCTTACTAACTATAGGTACGAGGCTTTCCTACAGACCCTGGGAGACGAGGATCCTGCAAGATTAAAACAGGCCTGTAAAAAGATGAGACGCCTGGCAGCCTGGATGAATCCATTGCTAAAATAAATAAATAAATAAATAAATAAAAGTAAATTTTGGGAGCAGACAAGGACAGGATTTGGTTGCTGTGCCTAGACCCTGACACCCTTTGGGAGTTTTGGCCTCAGGAATGCTGACTATTCTCAGGTCCCAGGAACTGGTCGAGCTGGGTTTTAACAGCATTGAAAATTAACTAGTACCTTGTTATGGGATTTCAAGATCCTGGAAGGAGACACACGGACCACAGACCCTGCAGACATTCTTCTCCTCCTCCTCCCCCTTGCCTGCAGTCTTCTTCCTCACCCCTATATAATCAGCCTGCTAGTAGGGGAGGTGACTTTACAGGATGACCTGCTGCTCTCTTCATTCTGCCAGCATTATTGGAAATAAACAATTATATATGACTCATTCTTATCTCCGCTTAATTTGGCTCAAGTCGTGACGGGCGGTCTGGACCCGCTTTGTGTCCGGTTTCAAAGGGCCATGGTGGAGCCTAGGTCTCTTTGTTCCCAAGTTCAAGTTCTGTTATTCTCATTTTCCCCTTCCAAATCTCTGGCTGTAAGTACTGCCTTTGAGTCTGGGCAAGAGGGGTCCCTGTCCTGGGCTCAGAACTTTGGAGGGACCAGGAGGCGCTGCCTACCCAGGGCCCACCTTCGCCCTACCTGGTCCCCTTACAGTTTAGAATATTGTAAACCGAAATTCCCAAAGAAATGCAGGGAACGGAGAGATTTAGAAAAGGAGAGACCTCATTCAGGTGAAACAATTTACAAAGACGACAAACACCGCCTTCTGCAGAAACTGAAAATTTACTCCACAGAGGCAAAGTGGGAGGCTGCTTTTAAGAGGGAAAGTTCCCACCCAACTTCCCAACTAGTCCAATTTAATGCAAATGAGGTTTCCAAATTTATACTGTTCTAATTGGCCTGAATCATCCAGTTCTGATTAGTCAGTGTCATGCATTCTGGTTGGTCATCACAGAGCAGTTCTTATTCATTGGTATAGATGCAAATGAGGATATAATTGTGCTGTTCTGATTGGACAAGGCATGTTTCAGTTCATTGGTGGAATGACAAAACCAGGGCTTTCCCCTGCAGTGACTAGCTCAGACTAACCCCTATGGAGTGGTAACTTGGGGCTAAATGTCTCACTTTAGCCAAGAACAATTTTCAGAAAGTGTTTACACAGGTGTGCTGTCTGCCAGGAGTTCCATCTGCAGTTGGAGGGAGTTCACAGGTCTTGAAGGTAGATTTGAATAGTGCATCAAAATGTCTAATATAGCCCTGCCAGTTTATTGTAGTTCAGTGGTTGAGTGTCAATCTATGAACCAGAAGGTCATGGTTTAATTCCCAGTAAGGGCACATGCCCGGGTTTTAGGCTCAATCTCCAGTCTCGGGTGTAAAGGAGGCAGCCAATCAATGACTCTCTTTCATCATTGATGTTTCTATCTCTTCCTCTCCCATCCTCTGAAATCAATGTTTTTAAATGTTGAAATAAAAAAAATTTAAATGTCTAATATAAATGCCAAAGTGTTGAATTTTGTTCACAGGATTATGTATCTGTAAACTAAAGCTATTTGGCTCCATTCTTGACACAGGCACTGTCTTGAAGAATAAAAATAGAATCTTCTTTGGAGTTTCCCAAGAAGATGTCTTAAGGGATGGACAGGATGGTTCCACAGAATAATCTGTAGTATTTCTCTACAGACATCTTTCCAGCTCCAAATTTATACAAAAATAGCGCCATCTAAGTCTTGTTACAGAGGTAAGAAACCTCAGTTTTTTTTTAGGAAGTCTAACAAGATACTCAAATAATTGGGCTGCATGAATATGGGCAACTGAGGAGCTGAACAGCATAAAGGGAAAGCGATGAGAAGCACACAGGCATCAAAGACACTGGCTACGGAAATTTCCTAACCTCTGTGGCATCTCATTCATTTGGAATGGCAAACTTCTTTCTTGTGAGAAATGTTCCCCCCATTAATTTTAGAGTGGAAGAGAGAGGGAAAAACATAAATGTGAGAAAAACACATCAACTAGTTGCCTCCCATACCCACTCTGACTCTGGGATCAAACCTGCCACCCAGGTATGTGCTCCTGACCAGGATTTGAACCAGAGATCCTTCAATGCTCTAACCATTGAGCACACAAGCCAGGGCTTGAATGGTGAACTTCTTAATGACCTTGTTCTTGTGCACACATCAGGTGCAACTGGTGCAGCAAATAGCCCTCGGTGTATTTGGCATGACTATTTCTCCTTTTTTTGGTTACCGTGGAAAGGACTATTCCTTTTTTTAAAAAAATGAGTGTTCAGGGGGATTTTGTTTGTTTCTCTTCCTCTTTCTTTTTATTCTTTTGTATTGACTTGGGCATACCCAAATTTTCAACTTGGCCCATAAATTGCAAAAAGGCTTAATAACAGTATTTTGATGGACAAAGTGTACCTAAGGACTCAGGCCCTGGGATATTTATTAGAAGCGCTTTATGGGTATCTGTTGAGTGGATGGGATCATTGAACTGGGCACCTTTGTCACTGTGTGAATGGAATGATATAGATCAGTGACTTTCAACCTTTTCTACCTCATGGCATATAGAAACTAATTACTGCAGCACATCAAAAAAATATATATTTTTTGCCAATCTGACCAAAAAAATAGGTATAATTTTGATTCACTCACACTAGATGGCCATTGTTGGCTTTTGATATTTATTTTTTATTTGACTATCTAAGGGGAAAAAATTCAGTACAATTGACTAAGTAGGTTCTGTGTGATCTAAAAATTCTTGCGGCACATGGGTTGAAAATCGCTTATGTAGATACTGGGAAGCCAAGGGATGGATTTCCATAAGCCATATTACCCATTTTCACAGCCTTCCTTAGGAAGTGTCCTCCACCCATGACATTGGCACCTGGAAGCTATGTTGCTGCTGCCTGTGGCTGCTAAACCAGTGTGAGCCAATCAGAAAGCTAGTCTTAAGAATTTGACTCAAGGCAAAACTGGTTTGGCTCAGTGGATAGAGCATCAGCCTGGGACTGAAAGGTCCCGGGTTCGATTCTGGTCAAGGGCATGTACCTTGGTTGCGGGCACATCCCCAGTAGGGGGTGTGCAAGAGGCAGTTGATCAATGATTCTCTCTCATCAATGTTTCTAACTCTCTATCCCTCTCCTTTCCTCTCTGTAAAAAGTCAATAAAAATATATTTAAAAAAAAGAAAGAAAAAAAGAATTTGACTCAAGAAAGCCAGAACCTTAGACACAGGAGTCAAGTAACAATAGTGGAACGTTCTGAGGTTGCTGGGGATTAGGTGATTCTTACCTCTTACCAGGCCTTATTGCTTAACTCTGACTCAGATTCTGTGAGATAGCATAGTATTCCTAGAATACTTTCCTTGCAACACATATTGATGCAGATGGTCACATCTTCCTAGAAGCATATATATATATATTTTTTTTTTTAGGATAAATCATGTCCTTTTAATAATAAAAATACACTTTTAAAATGTTTTTAACATAGATTTACTTATCCATTTTAAATTTTTATTCCAAATGTATACTTTATGATATGCATAGTATTTTATAACTGTAATATATATACTATCTATAAAGAGGGAATATGCTAATTGACCCTCACATGGTTGCAGAGATGGCAGTGCCCACAGTCAATAAGGAGGGAATATGCTAATTGACCACCCCATTCTCAAAGATGGCGGCATCCACAGCCACAAGATGGCAGTGCCCAGTCCTCTCAGCCCCATCAGGGCAGCAGGGGTGTGGTAAGGTGGGGCCCACCCCTCGGTGGGCTGGGTCTTGCCATGCGCCTGCCTCCAGAGTCCCCCAGTTCCCTCAGCCCCCCAGCCACCCAGGGCTGGCCCGAGGTGCGGGCAAACCTTGGATGACGGCTGCCCAGCCACCCAGGACCACCTGAGGCTCAGATAACTAGGACCAGCTGAGGCTTGCTCTGCCTGCAGAGGCAGCAGCAGAGGTGTGATGGGGCGTGATGCCTTCCTCTGATAGCCGGGTAGCCTCCCACCCCTGAGGGCTCCCAGACTGTGAGAGGAGGCAGGCCAAACTGAGGAACCCCCCTCCAGTGCATGAATTTTCAGGCACCAGGCCTCTAGTATATACTATAAATAAAAATAAACATACTGTATCTGAGATGTGTGCTCAAGAGGAGTGAATTATTGAATACCTGTATCTCCATAATCCTCAGTACTTCAGCTTAAAGACATGGGTGGACATTCTTAGGCATTCAATATATATGTTAAAAGTTGAAAGTTTTGTTTTGGTCACAAGGAAATAGCACAAGACTTATATCCATATAATTTTTTGGACATGTGAAGTGTACCCAGGAGAGTTAGGTTGTGCGAGATGCGTGCCCATAGCATTGAGTAAATGTCATAATCTCTTCCCCCAAGGTGGCTGTTGGCTGTCAGGAAAAAATCAAGAGCCCACAAATCACCACTTCCAGACTCTGGGTTCACAGAGAGGCTCTGCCCTGCTCACCGAGAGACCAAGGATCAGAGTGTCACCCAGCTCAGCCAGGCCAGCAGCATTTGCAAGGTCCCAACAGCCCTACCCTTTTCCTTCCTGATGGCCCTGTTGAAGCTTACCTGCACTCCATCTGCTCTCTGTGCTGTGACAGGACTCAGACCCACAGCCTGGCTAAAAGGGGGCCTTGATTCTCCTGGTACAAATGAGAATCTTCCCTCCCTCCTGCCTAAAATGCAGAAACAACTTTAGGTTCCCCGAGAAAGCCTTTGGCCGCACCAGTTCCGGAAGGCTCAAGCCAGCTGTTGTCCATGAGATGATCCTGCAGGCATTCCACCTCTTCAGGAAAGAAAGCTCCTTTGCTGCTTGAGACATGCCCAGGCTTTGTGCTGGATCCCCAGTAGAGAGCATACTTCTCTCTCTCATTGATATTTCTTTCTCTTTCTCTCAATCTCCCTGAAACAAATAAAAACATATTAAAGAGAAGAAAAGGAAAGTGGGAAACTGGACAATGCAATCTCTTTCTCAATACCTAAGGTAAATAATGGTCAGAATCAGCTAAAAATATAAAATACACGATGGAAATCCACAGAGCAAGAGACAGCTGTGTGTAATTCAGAGGTATAAATGGATTTAACAAAACGAAAAAAAATTTTTTTCCCTCAGAAAACTCACAAAAAAGTATAATCCATAACTCACCAAAAAGAATCTTTTGGAGAGAACCAAGATGGCAGCATACATAAACACCAGTACTCGCCACCTCCCAACCACATCAAAATTACAATTAAAATGCAGAACAACCATCATTCAGAACCCCCTGAAATCTGGCTGAATGGAAGTCCTACAACTGGAGAAGTAAAGAAGAAAGTACATGGAGACAGGTAGGAGTGGAAACATGGAACAGGCTGGTCCAACACCCACATGTGGCTCATTTTTAACCGGGAGGGATATCTTGGCTGTGGAGGCCTCCTGTGAGAAGCTAGGGTTCCCAGCCCCACACCAGACCTCCAGCCCAGAGTTCCAGACCTGGGAAGGGATTAACCAAAGATTTAATATACATACATTCATTACCTATGGACACAGATATGGTACTAGTATGGTGAAGGCCTGGGGTGGGGTGGGAACCAGGTGGAGGGGGGTAATGGGGATCAAAAGGGGGTCAACTATAATACTCTCAACAATAAAGATTATTTTTTTAAAAGAATCTTTTTGTTGAAATTCCATTCTGCCTGAACATTTATGTGATGATGAGCAACCCACTTTATCTTTCTAAAGGTCAGTTTTCCCAGAAATCAACTGTTATCAGAGAGGGGATCTGGCCCTGAGCAGGTCTGCCTCGAGCCAGCCAAGAGTGTGTGGTTTCTTGACTTCTTGCAGGAAAAATTGTACAACAGGAGTCCAGGTGGATGTTATAGCTGGGAACAGTGAAACAAGGAAGGGCTGGGAAAATGAGCTGAGGCTGCACTGGTTTGGCTCATTATGACATTAGAGAAAATGGGGCCTCGGGGACAGCTTCAGGGGCATTGTCTGGGATGAGCTGCGGCTGCATATTGCTGTCCTGGGTGCAAGCCTTGTGGGGTCCCTTAGAGTTTAGGAGATGCATGCCTGTGGGGGAAGAAGCGGAGAAAGGGAACCGCAGGAGCTTCTCCCCTGAGGGAGAGCAAGTGTTAGGTCCTTTGTCTTGAGGGTTTTTATCTTTCTCTTGCAAGCAGGAATCTTAGGGGAGGACTCAGGGGAGGGTTTCAGCAGAATATTCAACAGTTTTCTAGGTGCTGCTCCTTCAGGGTTGTGGTCTCCACTGATTGGCCAGTGTCAGGGCAGGGGGTCATTCATCATTGCAGCTGGTCCTGGTGTTTTGCTGCTTTTCTGGGGCTGGAGCTGAACTATCGATATAACCCAGGCCTACATGCTATCCAGGGAGGTGACCTTCTGAATCTGTGGTGAATTCCTCGGCCAGGTTGTTCAGCTGTCTGTCTCAGTTTCCCTGTTCCATTGTCCTGGCTTACTGGCCAGTATTAATAACTAAGAAAGGGGAATGAATGCCTGGATACAGGACAGAACAACATGATGTTTAATGATTCTGACCCCTAGCACAGCCTTCCCTTTCTCTCTCCCTCCCTCCCAGCATTCCAGAACACATGCCCACATCACACTAGTGTCCTTCCTCTCCAGGCAGAAATCCCCACAACACGCTTGTCATCCACTCTCGTGACCTCTCCACCCAATCACACAACTGCTTCCTGGTCCTTGTGATTTCAGCTGCATGCAATGGCTCCCTAACGAGCAGAACTTCACACATTGAAAGCAAAAGTTGACTAACATTTCTAGGTTTTGCAGAAACATCTGCAAGAGGCTTTCTTTAGTGTCCATTGAATGTGATGTAAGAATACCTGTAGCTGAACAGAAACAGAAAGCATGATCCAGGGTGTCCATGGATATGATAATGATACTCCTCTCAGGGAAGACAGCCCCCTGGTGGCCACGTGTAACAAGGGCAGCCTCCAAGAGGAGGGCAGGATTCTGGGAATTGGAGAGGACCAGGGTAACTCCAATGTCAGCAACAAACTTGTTTCAATCGACAGAAAATTCTACTCTTTAAACTATTTAAGAGGAATATTGACTACTTTTCCTTAGAACTTAAAGTCAGTCAGTTCTGTGTTCTCAGACCACACTGGTGATGTCATACAGAACCATAGACAGCAATCCACTGGCATTTGAAGTGGAACTTGGAATTCCTTGTCACCCCACCTTCCCTGCTCAGTGCTCTCATGCCATGGCCTCTCCTTGGTTCATCAATCCCATGTCCAATTCTATCCTTGTCATCTTTTAACAGGCCCTTATAGACAAGCCCATATCTTAAATGCTTAAAGGGTTTGACCTTAGATTTGTGGTACCTTCCAAATAATTCATTGCTCCAAATTTATACTGCGTAATAGTGGTAAAACAAGTTTAATACAAATAGAATTACTGGGAAGGTTGAATTTACCATTTCAAAGATCATAGAACAGTGGTTGGACGATAGTTAGCATGCAATAAATTTTGTTATAATTTGCTGTAAAATATCAATATAATTATTATTTAGATTAAGAGCACACTCTGTTAGGATCATCCACTTCCATTACTCTCAAATCCACAATGCTCAAGGCAATCTTCCAGCAGCTGAGAGGATTTATTAACCAGATGGAGCAGGTATATCAGGTTAATATCCACTAGGCAGCAGGGAGGGTCCTGCTCCAGCAGGGGGTGGTGTGGTCCCCAGTCTTCTGAGAGTTGGTCATTGTGAATCTTCCCTTCCAGCCTCAGAGCTGATCCCATGATGTGGCTGGTCACTGGCCCAGGAGGTCCTGTTCTTGGAGCCTCTGGCAGAGGCAGCCCATCCGTGCTGGTGTAGCTCAGGGCTGGCTCCATCCTCCATCTGCTTCAGCACCAGGCACCTATGTGGCTGCAGTCAATTCTGCCAATTTACACTTGTCCTCTTGTCAAAAGAAGTCACTTCCCTTCTTTCTCTTCTATGACATGCAGAATTCTATTTGTTTCATTTTTGCCCTCAAACAACTGTCAATTTTGCTTTCTAGGAAAGTTGAAATGAGAAATAATTCTGACGTCATGATAATTATAGAGAAAAATGGTGAAGTCCCTTTGACTTTCTTTACTTCTTTTTATATGAACCTCAGAATGAAGGAGAAAATCATGTCAGAGGAGCAACACAGACTATGCCCAGGAAACGACTATGTAATGACTATGTGGTTATTTACATGTAAAATGAAGCACCATGAATAATTAAGGATTGAAGGCTGTTTCTCCCTGACTTAGCAGCCTGAGCCTCACTGCCCTGCATCCTAAGCATGAGACAGAGGGAGGAACAGAGAAGCCCAATAGAAACACACAGACTGAATGAGCAGCTGAAGTTCACCAGTTTCTGTAATACAAGTCTACTGAGAGATGTCATTGCATCACCTTTGCACAGCTCAGATATTCTGAGCTTAATGTGTTCAATAATTTAAAAAGAGAATTCAATAATAAAGTTGCACTTGCTAAAATAAATTATTGGCACATTGAAGATCAATGATTAAATGGATAATTAATGCATCCACCCACTTAAGAGAAAATAAAGGATTGCTGTCAGCGTTTAGGGCTGTGGACACCACTGACACCTGGGTCCTGGCTCAGGAGAGGAGCAGGTCACCAAAGAGAACAAGGGTCCTTCACGCACACCCTCCCAGGGAAAGTAGGAGGACACTGACCTAATTTTTGCCACAAAGAAACAAGACCCTCTACGAGGGGAGAATTCTAAGGACCTAAGGATGGGGTGAGCATGCCCTCAGGGGGAGTCCAGGAGAGTTATAACTGAGGACACTGTCACTACAGAGGCAAAGGGTTACTAGAGCTGATATCAACCTTCTGAATGGGGTGGTGCTGGGAAAATATTACAATCTTGTTATGAGAATCTCCACACCTACAGCCACCAACCAGCAAGGAACCCTGATTCCTGCTGGGGTATTGGCACAGCCTGAGGAGCACTAACAACCAGTGACAAACGCTAAAAGGAAATGGCAATGTCTACAGAAGTGCTGACCCAGTGGCCCCCGTGAAGCACAGCCACATGGCCTGCTGGAATGGGTTCTAGAAGAGAGACATCCCTGAAAAGCAGTCACTGAAAACCTCAGCATCTACAGGGAACTCAACAGTAAATAAAACTCAGTCCTTGGTGTTAAAGAGCTTATGTCCTACATGGGGTCCAAAAAGAACCTGACAAAACACACACGCCCACACGGATGAGGGAGCCTGACCCCCTGTGCAAAGGAAGGAGGGCAACATGGTGCCCAGACTGACACAACTAAAGTTTGTTGGGAGCCCTGACCGGTTTGGCTCGGTGGATAGAGCGTTGGTGTGCGGACTGAAAGCTCCCGGGTTCGATTCCAGTCAAGAGCATGTACCTTGGTTGTGGGCACATCCCCAGTGGGAGGTGTGAAGGAGGCAGTCTATCAATGTTTCTCTCCACGATGTTTCTAACTCTCTGTCCCTCTCCCTTCCTCTCCATAAAAAATAAAATATATAATCAAAAGTCTGTTGGGAATTCAAAATAGAATATTAATAGTACAGATTGATGACATCTTTTTAAAAATCCTAAAAGAAAAAAAAAAAAAAAAAAGAAGTGAAAGGAGAAAGAAATGTTTAGAAAATGAAAATTGTGGTGTTCCCTATTTAAGGGCCCTGCCTAGAAAGAAGGTCACTGCAGAACTTCTGGCCCAAGGTTGTTCACCAGACGCCCAGCTCAGCCAGGCCAGCAGCCCCCCCTTTGCCCATGGCCCTCCTGCTCTCTCTGCTTACGGCCCTGGTGCTGCTCAGCTCTGGCCCAGCTGGAACTCTGGGCTGTGACCCGCTTGAAGACCACATCCTGCTCAGCAGGGAGAACTTAGAACTTCTGAGAGACATGAACAGCATCTCCCCTCTCTTCTGCCTTAAGGACAGACAGCACTTCCGATTCCCCCGGGCAGTGGTGGATGGCAGCCAGGTCCAGAAGGCCCAGGCCCCCTCTGTGCTCCACCAGATGCTCCAGCAGATCTCCGACCTCCTGGCCACAGAGAACTCCTCTGTCCCCTGGAACACAACCCTCGTGGACCTGCTGCGCACAGGACTCCATCGGCAGCTGAAAGACCTGGACACCTGTTGGGCGCGGGAGATGGAAGAGGAGGGCCCCACCCTGGCCTTGAAGAGGTACTTCCAGGGCATCCGTCTCTACCTGAAGGAGAAGCAATACAGTGACTGCGCCTGGGAAGTTGTCAGAGTGGAAATCCTGAGGTCCTTCTCCTCAACAATAGCCGCCTTGCAGGAAAGGCTCAGAAATGAGGATGGAGACGTGGGGTCGCCTTGAAAGGATTCTCGCTGATGAATGTGCCACCTCACCTTTGCCCATAGGTTCTTGGTCATGGGCAACGGATCTTCTATCTGCTTCAGTCACAGAACTTACTGAACTTTACTCAGCAAATCTGTTGTCACATTCTTAAGGAAGAAAATGTTACCTACCAATAGTGCCTGATAGGTTACTGCCTGAATGGTTATTTATTTATTTATTTATTTATTTATTTATTCTTATCATATTTATGTACTTATATAACCCATATTTGTTCTTACCTTGTATTAAAATTTACAAAGCATGTAACTTTTTAAAGTTATTAAATTGCGTTTTGTTTTATTCATTAAATTGTTACCAAAGAAAACTTCCTGAGTTTTTTACTTCTGCAAACCTACATCCTTATTGGTTGAATCTATCTCAAAACAGCACTCTCTTTTTAAGTCCTTTACAACAGTCCCCCACTCCTCAGGAAGTGCCTATGGAAAGCTGGAAACCCATAGAATTGAGAAGAGCCCTGGAAAACAAGGAAGATGTTCGGTTTTTATGTCAGAATTGTAACGGGTTTCTATTCCGTCAGCAAGAGGAGAGGGTAGGGGTACCTGGGAGGAGTCTGTAGAGCGAAGTGGAAAGGATACAGGGTGTTTGTTGGCTGATATTGGCCTCTGGTCCTCCTACCACAGCCTCCCAGTCCTGGTCCACTGGAAGGATTCCCTCCCTTCCCGCCCCGCCCTCGCTGCCTCTGGCTCTGGAGTGGTTTCTGCTTCCAGGTGTCTCATCAGCAGAAAAGCCAAAGGGAGAGAGCAGCTGTGGAGTGGCAGCTCTAAGCTCTTCAAAAACGGTTGCAGACAGTTGTGCTTCTAGAAGTGTGCTGATGGAGGTCTCTGGGCCCTGAGCAAATGCCAATGTTATAGTGATGGCAGTGAAGGGAATCAGCAAATTCACATAACTGTGTGTGTGCTGTGTGACTATCTCAGCGAGCAGGGAGAGGTCAATTTGGGAGGATCTCTTGAATCTGCATCAAATGACCTCGCCAATGCATCAGTTCTCTTGTAAATAAATTGTGGGTAATATTTTAACACACTTTTATCATTTATCTTTCTCTCCTCTACTACTCTACTTCATGGACTAGTTTAGAATGAGAAAAACTTGCCAATTATGAACTTTTCCCATTCTTTCTTTGCCTATCACCTTTTGAATGGTAGGATCCTTGCTTGCAGATTTACTGGAAGTCAACTGTGTTACTTTTAAGATACAGATAGGTTGTTTGGCCGTTTGAGTTCTGCTGGTCTAAACGGGGACCACCTGTGCTACTGCCTTTATGCTTCTCTACCTCCAGGTACATTTTAAGGAAAAATTCTGGATGACCGTTGGTAGACATAGCCATATTGACACATAAAATTAACCATCACAACCACTGTCCTGGAGAAAGGATACTCCCATTCTCAGCAGCCTCTTAGTTCCTGTGAAGAGGGAAATTCCTACAATGTAAAGAGCTTAGACTATGGAGTCAGAACTAGATTCTCAAGTACTGCTATGAACTTGGAAAAGTTAATCTCTCTATGGCTTTGTCTTCTTTTTCTTATTCTTCTTCATAAAAAAGAAATAACGAAAAGAACCACATCTGCCTCTTTTGTTAACTCATGTGTACTAAAGTGGGAAGAACAAGGCTTACACTTGAAGGTGCTTGAGAAACTCCTGCTTTATAAATGCATGTTTTCAAAGAGTGTTGAAAGGGATGAACCATGAATTAATATGCTTAGAAGAGTGCCTACACCATAGCAGAAGCTCAATAATGTCATGTTTATATTTATTATTTTAATTGATTTTCAGAAAGGAAGGAAGGGAGGCAGAGGACAACATCAATGTGAGAGAAACATATAATAGTTGGGTTCTGCTTGCAAGCTGACTAGGCTGGGAATTGAACTTGAAACCTTGGTAACATGCCCTTGAGCTGGATTCAAGCCCTCTACCTTTCCATGGGTGGGTCAACACTAACCACTAAGAGACATCAACCACTTCTATGTCATCTTGAGTAGTAATGATATTTACTAGTTGATGACCCACGTTTCTGAATGGAATCACTAATCATGAGAAATGCACATTGAGAATGAGTAACATTCATTATTTTGCTAGACAGAATTAGTATTGGTGTTCCTTGTTAAAGTGAGTCTTTTGTGAGTTGATTGGTGTGATTCCCATTCCTTGTTCCCAAATAATTACATCTGGGGAAAACGAAACAGTAATCCTGTGGCAGTTTTGGTAGAGCTGAAGGTTGGCCATAGGACAGAAGTTCCTCTCTTTATCCTCCAGCCTGGGCAAACAGCTTGTGCTCTCTCCTTAGCCCTACGGTGCCCTTCATCCTCCTCTTTGCTTTCAGTTTTGTTACATAGAATTTAGCTAAATTACCATTTTCTTATTCCCAGGTCAGCCATTATGTTCTATTCAAGGCCTTCACCTGGTAAGATAAGATGAGGTGGACTCATATTAGGGAGAACAACAGCTTTTCCCAGTCCATCTACTTAACTGTCCATCTTAGACCAAAACACCCTCACACACACATTCAGAAAGTTAGACCAAGTATCTGGGCATCTCATGGTCCAATCCAATTAAAACATGAAATTAATCGTCATAAGGATCTAAGATAAAATACTGTAGAGCCCAGTGCAATTCTAAACCTGTATCTCTATAACCCCAGGTACTCTATTGAATTGTGTTACATCATTTCCAATGGACATAAAGCCACATATGAACATTCTCTGCAACACCACATGAGTGATATAAGGGTTTGTTTGTTTGTTTATTCCTTTATCTCTTTCTTTCGTTTGAAAAAATGTATTGGGGTGACATTGGTTCATAGGATCATATAGGTTTCAGGTGTGGATTTGTTACAGGATCTGTTTATTGTATAGTGTGCACACCACCCAAAGTCAAATCCTCTTCTGTCACTATATAGTAGTCCCCCTTCTCTCCGCACCATCCAAACCCTTACCTGTGAAAACTCCCACACTACTGTTTGTGTGTATGAGTTTAGTGTGACATCCCACAGATGAGATCACGTGGTGCTCAGCTTTTTCCACCTCACTTATGTCATGCAGCATAATATTCTCAGGACCCATCCACCTTTTCCCAAATGGCAGTATTTCACCTTTTGTTATTACAATTCCACTGTGTCTTTGTACCCTGTCTTCTTTAGCCAGTTCTCTATTGACGGACACCTTGGTTGTCTCCATGTATTGGCCACAGTGAGTGAGGCTGCAATGTACAGAGGAGTGCATATATCTTTGTGTGTACAAGTTTTTGATTTCTGGGGTATACATGCAAGAGAGGGATGGCTGGGTCATATGGCAGGTAGCTCTATTCTTAATGTTTGTGGAAATTGCCAGATTGTTTTCTATCGTGCCTGCAGCAGTCTATATTCCCACCAGCAGTGAATGAGGGTTCCCCCTTTTCCACAGCCTCTCCAACACTTATCACTGGACTTGTGGATCATAGCCATTCTAAAAGGTGAGAGGTGGTGTCTCATTGTACTTGTGATTTGCATTTCCCTAATTGCTGGTGGCCTTGAACATCTTTTCATATGTCTGTTGGATGTTTGTCTGCCTTCTTGGGAGAAGTGTCTATTCAAGTTCTCTGCCCCTGTTCTAATTGGGTTGTTTGTTAGTGTTGAGTTTAATGAGTATTTTATATAATTTGGGTATTAAGCCTTTGTGGGAGCTATTGTTTGCAAATATTCTTTCCCATTCACTGGTTGCCTCTTTGTTTTGTTGTCAGTCTCTATTGCTGTGCAGAAGCTGGTTAGTTTGACATAGTCCCATTCATTTATTTTTGCCTTTCCTTCACTTGTCTTTGGAGTCAAGTTCATGAAATGTTCTCTACAGCCAAGGCCCATACATTTAGAACCTATGCTTTCTTCTATTGATTTTATTGTGTGAGACCTCCTATTTATGAACTTGATCCCTTTGAGTTAAGTTTTATTCATGTGGACAAACTGTAACTCAGTTCCATTCTTTTGCATGTGGCTTTCCAATGGTCAGAGAACCATTTATTGAACAGGTTTTCCTTACTCCATGGTGTTATATACCAATAATGAATTCTCAGAAGGAAAAATTAAACAAACAATCCAATTTACCATACTGCCTCAAAAAAACTTAGATACCGAGGAATAAACTTAACTTGGGAGATAAAACATTTGTACTCAGAAAATTACAGAACATTGAACAAAAGAGATAGAGGAAGATATAAATAAGTGAAAGAAAAAACATTGTTCATGGATTCATAGCATTAACACCATTAAAATGTCCATACTATCTAAAGCAATCTACAGATTCAATGCAATCCCTATTTTATTACCAACAGAATCAGAATACTCCAAACATTTCTATGGAACAAAAGAAGACCTGAAATAACCCAGCAATCTTGAGAAAGAAGAACAAACTTGGAGGAATCTCAATACCAGATTTCAGGTTATACTGCAAAGCCACTGTAATCTCAACAGCCTGGGACTGGCACCAGAAGAGGCATATAGATCACTGGAACACAACAGAGACCCCAGAAGTAGACCCATACAATTACCCACAGTTAATATTTGACAAAGGAGGCAAGAGCACACAACAGAGGAAGACAGGCTCTTCAATATCTGGCGTTGGGAAATCGGACAGCACTGAGTTCCACTGAGATCAGGGCCTGGCACATGAACCAGAGGAATCTCAGAGCCCACTCTGCAGAGAACCGGCTCTGAGGAAAGGTTCCTGACAAAGCACTGCTGTTCTGTGAGTGGTAACCAGGAGCTAAATACTCCCTTCTCTCAGCCTCAGAGGCAGACCACCTCTGGGTGTTATCTGAGGCACAGGAAAACATAGACAAGACAGAGACAGAGGGTGGTACCAATAAGAAAGGGGACATGCATAGGTTTTCAACCCCAGAAGATCACAACTCTAATTCAAAAGCTCCTTCCTGGGTTAGTAGAAGGGCAGAGTACTTACTCAATCACAGAGTAAAAGGAGGTCTCACATCTGAGTCATCAAGGTACACAATGCTTCCAGGCAATATCAAAAAATGAATTATGCCAGGACATCATGAGGAACTAAATCTCAACATTTCAGAGACACAATATGACCTTTCACTTCCAAGTCCCTGAGAGGCTTAGGAAGGGAAGGGGTGTGGCAGGGTGCAAATAAAATGTCAGCAAGTTCCATTCAGTCCACAGAATTCTAACCAAAGAAAAGGAAAAGATCTGTCCTGCTAACTGTCCTATCCAGCCTGCACACAACACCGATTTTTAATTTTAATGATTCAATCAAGGTGAGGTTCTGTGAAGACTTTTCAGCAAAGTGAAATTAAGGAAAAATGATTCATCATTGCACATAGTTATAAGAAACCCTCCAACATGGCAATACTCCCAACTGAAAACAAGTAATCCCTTTTATATATAAAAAAATTGTAATTAAAACACTTGTATTGATTTCAGAGAGGAAGTTAGAGGGAGAGAGAGATACAAACATTAATCATGAGCGAGAATCATTGATTGGCTGCCTCCTGTAAGCACCACCCAGGGATCTAGCCACAACCAGGACCTGTGCCCAGACCAGGAAGGAACCAGGACTTCCTTCTTCATAGGCTGATGCTCTAGTGCTGAGGCAGGCAGGGCCCTCTAGAGAATCGCGCTTCCAAGGAACCTAAGACCACTTGCTGCTCATGGGCCTGACACTCCCCCTGCCATTTCCAATGACCCAGATCTCGGTGTGGCTGGTGGTGGCAGGGGCCATGCTTTGCTCCAGCCCTGCTGGCTCTCTGGAGGGGAACACACTTTGGATCCAGAGAGCAGACAACCTGAGAGTCTTCAATCTTTTGCGGCAACTGCAAAGAACCCCCCTTCACTTATGCCTGGGTGACAGAAACAACTTCACATTTCCCGGGAACAGGGGGACCATCCCCCATATGCACAAGACACAATGCACCTGTCTGCACCATCAGATGCTCCTGCAGATGTTCACCCTCTTCAGCGCACAGCGCAGCCTTACTGCATGGGATCACACACTCCTCTCCCAGCTCCTCTCCAGCCTTCATCACAGCCTGGAGCACCTGGAGCACCTGGAGGAGAGGGAAGGAGAAGATCAGGCATGTCCCAAGGTGAGAATTCTCCTGCGGAAGTATTTCCAAAGAATCCATAACTACCTGAGAGGGAAGAACTACACCGCCTGTGCCTGGGAGGTGGTTAGAGTGGAAATGACACTTTGCATTGCAATCATGTACCAATCCTCAAAGGAAAGTCAACACACTCAGAATTACGTTCTATGGTGACTCTCTCTCTTCAACTACATGCTTTGCTGAGCTCCAAAATAATCTCTACGCACATCCCTGCACCAGCTGAGATATACCTGACTCCAAAATAACTCCAAGGAGTTAATATAAAAATATCTTGTACATCATGACTTGACAAAAGTATGTTGAGAGAGAGGTACATGAGCTGCTCTCTTAAAAAAATAATTTTATCACTTTTTTTTTTTTATACTGTTCAATTTTTTGGGACAGTGGTGATGGAGGGTGGAGGGACTATTGGCAGTTTCCAAGTGTAAATTTCAGGCTTTTCTTAATGATAAGATTCTCCAGGATAATGTTTGGTTAAAGACATTTGCCAGTTAAGTTCACGGTGGCTCTTGTAACTGATCAACAGAACCCTATCCGCACGGTGGTTGGTCATTAGAGAACTTTAGCGTGCTTCTGTAGAAGAGCACAATGCAAGCATTTCTGATCAGAAGACTCTTATGTCTGGCTCTTGTGTAAACCATGATTGTAGGTCATGGCACCTTCTATTTGGAAACTTTGCCGTACTGAACACGTGTTGCCAAATTTCTCTGGGAACTTGATTCTATTCTACCCAGTTGTAGAGAAAAAAATTAGGGTAGATCACCTGCGATGTTTCCAAGCCCAGTACTGTCCTGGGCAATGTCACTGATGCTCCCAGCAGTGGGGCTGAACCTATCTCAGGTGATGCGCTAAGTGCAAAGAGGTGAGAAGTAGACACTGATCTGGTGATCATGAAACAGGACACAGAGCACACCTAGGAGCAGGAAGGAGATGGAAGTCAGCAGGGGCTTGAGAACTGGGCAGAACAGGCAGGCCCTTAAGTGGGGGAGGGGGAACAAGGGAAAGGGCCTGCACTGAGTCACCTGTATCTGACATCATTCTGGTTGCCAGAGGGACAAGATGGAAGTGGATGCTGAGAGCAGAGCTCTCCCACAGAGATGGGGCCAACAGCAATGTCCCCAGCACAGGGGACTCTGACCCCAGGCAGCCTGCTGGGGATTGGAGGAACCACGGTTACTTCAGAGGCAGCAACAAACTTGTTCCAACTGTCAGAAAAATTTTAGTCTTTAAAACTACGGAAAAGGAATGTTGTGTACTTTTCCTTAGAACTTGAAGTCATTCTATAGACTCAGACCATACAGAACCATAGACAGCATTCCACTGGCATTTGAAGTGGAACTTGGATTCCCTAATCACCCCACCTTCCATGCTCAGTGCTCCCATGCTGTGACCCCTCCTTGATTTATAAATCCCATGTCCAATTCTATCCTTGTCTTTTAATGGGTTCTTCCAAACCAGCAGTATCTTAAATTCCTTAACGGTTTGATTTGGGATTCTTGGTATCTTCCAATTAATTCATCACTCCAGATTTATACTGCATAATAGTTAAATAAACCAGTTTAATACAAATAGGATTACTGGGAAGGTTGAATTCACCATTTCAAAGATCTTAGAACAGTAGTGGGACTATAGTTATCATGCAATAAAATTTTATCATTTACTATAAAATATCAATATAACTATTATTTAGATTAAGAGCACAATCTGGCAGGATCATCAAATTCCATTTCTTTCAAATCCACAATTCTCAAGGCAATCTTCCAGCAGCTGAGAGGATTTATTAACCAGATGGAGCAGGTACATCAGGTTAATATCCACTAGGTAGCAGGGAGGGTCCTGCTCCAGCAGGGGGTGGCATGGTAGCCAGTCTTCTGAGAGTTGGTTGCTGTGAGTCTTCCCTTCAGTCCTCAGAGCTGATCCCATGAGCATTAAATGACGTGGCTGGTCACTGGCTCAGGAGGTCCTGTTCTTTGAGCCTCTGGCAGTCAGCCCATTCCTGAGTTGGTATAGCTCAGGGCTGGCTCCATCCTCCATCTGCCTCAGCACCAGGAACCCCGTGTGGCTGCAGCCAATTCTGCCAACTTACACTTTGTCCTCTTGTCATCAGAAGTCACTTCCCTTCTTTCTCTTCTATGACACGCAGAATTCTATCTGTTTCATTTTTGCCCACAAACAACTATCGATTTTGCTTTCTAGGAAAGTTGAAATGAGAAACAAAAAGTCTGACGTCATGATAATTATAGAGGAAAATGGTGAAGTCTCTTTGACTTTCCTTACTTCCCTTTACATGAACCTCAGGATGAAGTAGAAAATCATGTCAGAGAAGCAACACACACTATGCCCAGGAAACCACTCTGTAATGACTATGTGGTTATTTACATGTAAAATGAAACACCATGCATAATTAGGGATTGAGGACTGTTTCTCCCTGACTTAGCAGCCTGAGCCTCACTGCCCTGCACCCTGAGCATGAGACAGAGGGAGGAACAGAGAAGCCCAAAAGAAACACACAAACTGAATGAGCAGCTGAAGTTCAATAGTTTCTGTTCTACAAGTTTCTACTGAGAGACGTTGTCATTGAATCTCCGTGCCAAGCTCAGAATTTCTGAGTTTAATGTGTTAATAATTTAAAAAGAGAATTCAATAATAAAGCTGCACTTGCCAAAATAAATTATTGGCCCACTGAAGAACAATGATTGAAAACGGATAACTAATGTCTATACCCACTTAGAGAAAACAAAGATTAGCTGTCAGTATTTAGGGCTGTGGACACCACTGACACCTGAGCCCTGGCTCAGGAGAGGAGCAGGTCACCACAGAGAACAAGGGTCCTTCACACACAACCTCCTATGGAAGCAGCAGGATGCTGACCCATCATTTGACACAAAGACACAAGCCCCTCCCTCTGTGGAGGATTCTAAGGAACTCAGGATGGGGTGAGCCTGCCCTCAGGGGGAGTCCAGGAGAGTTATAGGTGAGGACACTGTCACTCAAGAGGCAAAGGGTTACTAGAGCTGATCTCAGTGTCTGGAATGGGGTGGTGCTGGGAAAATATCACTATCTTGTGATGAGAATCTCCACACCTATACCCACCAGCAAAGGAACTCGGATTCCTGCTGGGGGTATGGCAGAGCCTGAGGAGCACTGACAATCAATAACAAATGCTGGAAAGGAAATGGCAATGCCTACAGAAGTGCTGACCCAGTGGCCCCCGTGAAGCACAGCCACATGGGCCTGCTGGAATGGGTTCTAGAAGAGAGACATCCCTGAAAAGCAGTCACTGAAAACCTCAGCCTCTGCAGGGAGCACAACAGTAAATAACTTTCAGTCCTTGGTTCTAAAGAGTTTATGTCGTACATGTGGTCCAGCAAGGACCTGACAAAACACACACGCCCACACGGATGAGGGAGCCTGACCCCCTGTGCAAAGGAAGGAGGGCAACATGGTGCCCAGACTGACACAACTAAAGTTTGTTGGGAGCCCTGACCGGTTTGGCTCGGTGGATAGAGCGTTGGTGTGCGGACTGAAAGCTCCCGGGTTCGATTCCAGTCAAGAGCATGTACCTTGGTTGTGGGCACATCCCCAGTGGGAGGTGTGAAGGAGGCAGTCTATCAATGTTTCTCTCCACGATGTTTCTAACTCTCTGTCCCTCTCCCTTCCTCTCCATAAAAAATAAAATATATAATCAAAAGTCTGTTGGGAATTTAAAATAGAAAATTAATAGTACAGATTGATGACATCTTTTTAAAAATCCTAAAAGAAAACAACAACAAAAAACGGAAGTGAAAGGGGAAAGAAATGTTTAGAAAATGAAAATTGTGGTGTTCCCTATTTAAGGGCCCTGCCTAGAAAGAAGGTCACTGCAGAACTTCTGGCCCAAGGTTGTTCACCAGACGCCCAGCTCAGCCAGGCCAGCAGCCCCCCCTTTGCCCATGGCCCTCCTGCTCTCTCTGCTCACGGCCCTGGTGCTGCTCAGCTCTGGCCCCGCTGGAGTTCTGGGCTGTGACCTGCTTGAGGACCATGTCCTGCTCAGCTGGGAGACCTTAGGGCTTTTGAGAGACATGAACAGCATCTCCCCTCTCTTCTGTCTGAAGGACAGACAGCACTTCCGATTCCCCAGGGCAGTGGTGGATGGCAGCCAGGTCCAGAAGGCCCAGGCCCTCCCTGTGCTCCACCAGATGCTCCTGCAGATCTCCAACCTCCTGGCCACAGAGAACTCCTCTGTCCCCTGGAACACGACCCTCGTGGACCTGCTGCGCACAGGACTCCATCGGCAGCTGAAAGACCTGGACACCTGTTGGGCGCGGGAGATGGAAGAGGAGGGCCCCACCCTGGCCTTGAAGAGGTACTTCCAGGGCATCCGTCTCTACCTGAAGGAGAAGCAATACAGTGACTGCGCCTGGGAAGTTGTCAGAGTGGAAATCCTGAGGTCCTTCTCCTCAACAATAGCCGCCTTGCAGGAAAGGCTCAGAAATGAGGATGGAGACGTGGGGTCGCCTTGAAAGGATTCTCGCTGATGAATGTGCCACCTCACCTTTGCCCATAGGTTCTTGGTCATGGGCAACGGATCTTCTATCTGCTTCAGTCACAGAACTTACTGAACTTTACTCAGCAAATCTGTTGTCACATTCTTAAGGAAGAAAATGTTACCTACCAATAGTGCCTGATAGGTTACAGCCTGAATGGTTATTTATTTATTTATTTATTTATTTATTCTTATCATATTTATGTATTTATATAACCAATATTTGTTCTTACCTTGTATTAAAATTTACAAAGCATGTAACTTTTTTAAAGTTATTAAATTTGCGTTTTGTTTTATTCATTAAATTGTTACCAAAGAAAACTTCCTGAGTTTTTTACTTCTGCAAACCTACATCCTTATTGGTTGAATCTATCTCAAAACAGCACTCTCTTTTTAAGTCCTTTACAACAGTCCCCCACTCCTCAGGAAGTGCCTATGGAAAGCTAGAAACCCATGGAATTGAGAAGAGCCCTGGAAAACAAGGAAGATGTTCGGTTTTTATGTCAGAATTGTAACGGGTTTCTATTCGGTCAGCAAGAGGAGAGGGTAGGGGTATCTGGGAGGAGTCTGTAGAGCGAAGTGGAAAGGATACAGGGTGTTTGTTGGCTGATATTGGCATCTGGTCCTCCTACCAGAGCCTCCCAGTCCTGGTCCACTGGAAGGATTCCCTCCCTTCCCGCCCCGCCCTGGCTGCCTCTGGCTCAGGAGTGGTTTCTGCTTCCAGGTGTCTCATCAGCAGAAAAGCCAAAGGGAGAGAGCAGCTGTGGAGTGGCAGCTCTAAGCTGTTCAAAAGGGTTGCAGACAGTTGTGCTTCTAGGAGTGTGCTGATGGAGGTCTCTGGGCCCTGAGCAAATGCCGATGTTACAGTGATGGCAGTGAAGGGAATCAGCAAATTCCCATAACTGCATGTGTCATGTGTGACTATCTCAGCGAGCAGGGAGAGAGACCAATTTGGGAGGATTTCTCGAACCTGTTCCTCAAATGACCTTGCCAATGCTTCAGTTCACTTGTCAATAAATTGTTGGCAGAACTGTAATACATTTTTATCCTTAATCTTTCTCTCCTCTACTCCTCTACTTCATGGACCAGCTTAGGAGAAAAACTTGCAGCATTGCCTACCACCTTTCCAACATTAGGATTCTTGCTACTTGCTTTGCAGATTTAATGGAAGTCAACTGTGTCACTCTTACATTACAAATAGGTTGTTTGGCCATTTGAGTTCTGCTGATTTCAACTGGGACCACCTGGGCTACTGAGTTTATGCTTCTCTACCTCCAGGTACATGTTAAGGCAAAATTCTGGGTGACCGGTGGTTGTCCTAGCCATGTTGACACATGTAATTAACCATCACAACCACTGTCCTGGAGAAAGGAAGCTCCCATTCTCAGCAGCCTCTTTGTTCCTGTGAAGAGTGAAATTCCTTCAATGTTTTTTGTTTTGTTTTGTTTTGTTTTGTTTTTTTGGTCTTTTTAAAATATATTTCAATGCTGGGGTTGCAAGCTCGATCCCCTGTGTGGGCTGTGCAGGAGGCAGTCCATCAATGGTTCTCTCTCATCATTGCTTTTCTATTTCCTTTCCCTCTCTGTTCCTCTCAATACATCAATAAAAATATATTTAAAAAATAAATAAAAATAAAATATATTTCATTGATTTTCCACATAGAGGAAGGAAGAGGGATAGAGAACTAGAAATGTCGATGAGAGAGAAACATTGCCCACCTGCCTCCTGCACACCCCCTGCCGGGAATGTGCCCACAACCAATGCACATGCCCTTGACCAGAATCGAACCTGGGACCCTTCAGTCGGCAGACCGATGCCCTATCCACTGAGCCAAATCAGTTAGGGAACCAATTTGTACTTTTATGGACTCATTCAAGTAAGGTTCTGTGAAGACACTTCAGTAAAATTTAATTAAAGAAAAATGATTCATCATTGCACATAGTTATAAGAAACTGTCCAACATGGCAATACTCCCAACTGAAAACAATTAATCCCTTTTATTAAAAATAAAAAAATCTTAAATAAATCACTTGTACTGATTTCAGAGAGGAAGGTGGAGGGAGAGAGAGAAATAGAAATATCAATGATCTGAGAGAATCACTGATTGGCTGCCTCCTGGAAGCCCCGCCCAGGGATCTAGCTGCAATGAGGCCCTGTGCCCAGACCAGGAGGGAAACCAGGACTTCCTGCTTCAGAGGCTCATGCTCCAGCGCTGAGCCAGGCAGGCCAGGCTGAACACAGTCACCCTGAAAATATTAAGTGTTTGCTTCCTTTCCAGCCAAGACAGTAAAATCACATTAAATACTTCTTTTGGTACAAATAAAATACAGTTGAAATAAAGTGCAAGTTTCACACATGGAGTTTTGATAGCCTGAATGTAAAAAATAAAAACTTTTTCCATTTTTAATTAATACTTAGGTAATATTCAATATATAAGTATTTTTAAAATTCGGACAGAAGAATGTCGTCAGATTAAAATGCTTTAAATTTCATGTAGATATTTAAATATTTTTTAAAGTTTAAGAGAATGGGTAAATTAATGTTTCTACGATTCAAATATATTTAAAAATTTACAGTGATATTTATTTATTACTAAACTTTTCAACTATTTTAAAAGTTTAATTAAGTGATGCTTTCATACAAAATATTTTAATATGAGGCTTCATATTAATATTTGATACTTAATTTTAAAATATTTTAATATTTTGAGTAGCATCAGGAAAAGCCATTTTTAATGCTCTCACTTTCCAGTATTATTTAACTTTCCCCGGGGCTCTCTAACGCGGTGACCTGCAGACATTACCCCAAAGCACCACAGACCAAGGGAGCCGCCCCTCCCGCCCGGCGCCCCGCTGGGCCTCCCCACCTCCCCAGCTCAGAATCCGGGCACATCTCCCACACAAAGCGCCCGAATCCGCACAAACCCCCCACACAGGCTCCGGTCCCGCCTCTGGCCCCTCAGCAAAGGGCCGCGCTGGAGCTTCCAGCAAAAGGAGAGCCCGGGCTCAGGAAGGCTCAGCCCAGGCCGGGCTCCGGGGCTCCGCAGGGCCAGGCCTCGGGGGGCGCAGGCTGAGCTCCATCCCAACAGTGGCTGCCCCGCTGGAGGCTCTGCTTCCCCCTGGGAGCTGCTCACAGGGCTCTGCGGGCAGCCAGCACCTCTGCTCCAGACACACTGACTGAGCTCCCCAAACTCAGGGGCACAGAGGCCCCCCCGCGTGCCCTCTGGCTGCCAGCTGGGGAACCGCGCTTCCTAGGGACCCCAAGGGAGGGTGCTGCTCACCGGGTCCCAAATAACCCTAGGGGTATCTTTTCATAAACCAAGCCCTCCTCCCCAAAGAAGCCTGCACCCAAATGCACCAATGTCCAAGCTCCCTTTTCCAAACGCAGCCCTTCCCAAAACACAGCCTGTGCTAAAAAGCAGCCTTTCCGCAGAAAAGTAGTCTGAATTGAAACTCACCCATTTAAAGCCCCGTTTTCCAAATCCTAGCCCCGCACACATCACAGCCTGTGTCCAAAAGGAGCCTTTCCCCCAAAAGGAGCCTTCACCAAAACGCACCCGTCTTCAGGCACACCTTTGCAAAACGCAGGATGGAAGGCTGCTCCCTGAGTATTAAAGCAGCAGAGAGTCCCTGGGTAGGAACTTCCTTGGCTGAGACCAGACAGCAGAACAAGGCTCCCAAGAAGGCTTTTCAGAAACGCCCCCTTGCGGCCGGCTTGAGAACCGCGCTTCCAGGGAACCCAAGAAGATCACTTGCTGCTCATGGGCCTGACACTCCCCCTGCCATTCCCAATGGCCCAGATCTCTGTGTGGCTGGTGGCAGGAGCCATGCTCTGCTCCAGCCCTGCTGGCTCTCGGGAGGGGAACACACTTTGGATCCAGAGAGCAGACAACCTGAGAGTCTTCAATGTTTTTCGACAACTGCAAAGAACCCCCCTTCACTTATGCCTGGGTGACAGAAACAACTTCACATTTCCCTGGAACAGGGGGACCATCCCCCAGATGCACAAGACACAATGCACCTGTCTGCACCATCAGATGCTCCTGCAGATGTTCACCCTGTTCAGCGCACAGCGCAGCCTTGCTGCATGGGACCACACCCTCCTCTCCCAGCTCCTCTCCAGCCTTCATCACAGCCTGGAGCACCTGGAGGAGAGGGAAGGAGAAGATCAGGCATGTCCCAAGGTGGGAATTCTCCTGCGGAAGTATTTCCAAAGAATCCATAACTACCTGAGAGGGAAGAACTTCACCGCCTGTGCCTGGGAGGTGGTCAGAGTGGAAATGGCATTTCGCATTGCAATCCTGTACCAATCCTCAGAGGAAAGTCAACACACTCAGAATTACGTTTTGTGGTGACTCTCTCTCTTCAACTGCATCCTTTGCTGAGCCCCAACACAATCTCCACTCACATTTCTGCACCAGCTGAGAAATACCTGACTCCAAAATAACTCCAAGGAGTCATTATAAAAATATCTTGTACATCATGACTTGACAAAATTATGTTTAGAGAGAGGTACATGAGCTGCTTTCTTAAATAAATAATTTTATCACTTTTTTTTTTTTTTTTTTTTTTACTGTTCAATTTTTTGGGACAGTGGTGATGGAGGGTGGAGGGACTACTGGCAGTTTCCAACTATAGATTCCATTCTTTTTTTAATGATACGATTCTTCAGGATAATGTTTGGTTAAAGACATTTGCCAGTTAAGTTCACGATGGCTCTTGTAACTGATCAACAGTACCCTATTCGCATGTTGGTTGGTCATTAGAGAACTTTAGCGTGCTTCTGTAGAAGAGCACAATGCAAGCATTTCTGATCAGAAGACTCTTATGTCTGGCTCTTGTGTAAACCATGATTGTAGGTCATGGCACCTTCTATTTGGAAACTTTGCCTTACTGAACACGTGTTGCCAAATTTCTCTGGGAACTTGATTCTATTGTACCCAGTTGTAGAAAAAAAAATTAGGGTAGATCACCTGCGATGTTTCCAAGCCCAGTACTGTCGTGGGCAATGTCACTGATGCTCCCAACAGTGGGGCTGAACCTATCTCAGGTGACGCGCTAAGTGCAAAGAGGTGAGAAGTAGACTCTGATCTGGTGATCATGGAACAGGACACAGAGCACACCTAGAAGCAGGAAGGAGATGGAAGTCAGCAAGGGCTTGAGAACTGGGCAGAACAGAGACAGTTAAAGCCTGGACTGGAAGAGGCAGGCCATCAGGAGGGGAACAAGGGGAAGGGCCTGCACTGAGTCACCTGTATCTGCAGATCATTCTGGTTGCCAGGGGGACAAGATGGAAGTGGATGCTGAGAGCAGAGCTCTCCCACAGAGATGGGGCCAACAGCAATGTCCCCAGCACAGGGGACTCTGACCCCACAGCAGCCTGCTGGGGATTGGAGGGACCACGGTTACTTCAGAGGCAGCAACAAACTTGTTCCAACTGTCAGAAAAATTTTACTCTTTAAAACTACGAAAAGGGAATGTTGTCTACTTATCTTTAGAACTTGAAGTCATTCTGTAGACTCAGACCACACTGGTGATGTCATACAGAACCATAGACAGCAATCCACTGGCATTTGAAATGGAACTTGGAATCCCTTGTCACCCCACCTTCCCTGCTCAGTGCTCTCATGCTGGGACCCCTCTTTGGTTTATAAATCCCATGTCCAATTCTATCCTTGTCTTTTAATGGGCTCTTCCAGACCAGCAGTATCTTAAATTCCTTAAGGGTTTGATTTTGGATTCTTGGTATCTTCCAAATAATTCATTGCTCCAGATTTATAATGCATAAGAGTTATATAAACAAGTTTAATGCAAATTGGATTACTGGGAAGGTTGAATTCACCATTTCAAAGATCTTAAAACAGTAGTTGGACTATAGTTATTATGCAATAAGATTTTATCATTTACTGTAAAATATCAATATAACTATTATTTAGATTAAGAGCACAATCTGGTAGGATCATCTAATTCCATTTCTCTCAAATCCACAATGCTCAAGGCAATCTTCCAGCAGCTGAAAGGATTTATTAACCAGATGGAGCAGGTACATCAGGTTAATATCCACTAGGTAGCAGGGAGGGTCCTGCTCCAGCAGGGGGTGGCATGGTCCCCAGTCTTCTGAGAGTTGGTTGCTGTGAGTCTTCCCTTCAGTCCTCAGAGCTGATTCCATGAGCAGTAAATGACATGGCTGGTCACTGGCTCAGGAGGTCCTGTTCTTTGAGCCTCTGGCAGTCAGCCCATTCCTGAGTTGGTGTAGCTCAGGGCTGGCTCCATCCTCCATCTGCCTCAGCACCAGGAACCCCGTGTGGCTGCAGCCAATTCTGCCAACTTACACTTTGTCCTCTTGTCATCAGAAGTCACTTCCCTTCTTTCTCTTCTATGACACGCAGAATTCTATCTGTTTCATTTTTGCCCACAAACAACTGTCGATTTTGCTTTCTAGGAAAGTTGAAATGAGAAACAAAAAGTCTGACGTCATGATAATTATAAAGGAAAATGGTGAAGTCTCTTTGACTTTCCTTACTTCCCTTTACATAAACCTCAGGATGAAGTAGAAAATCATGTCAGAGAAGCAACACACACTATGCCCAAGAAACCACTCTGTAATGACTATGTGGTCATTTACATATAAAATGAAGCACCATGCATAATTAGGGATTGAGGACTGTTTCTCCCTGACTTAGCAGCCTGAGCCTCACTGCCCTGCACCCTGAGCATGAGACAGAGGGAGGAACAGAGAAGCCCAATAGAAACACACAAACTGAATGAGCAGCTGAAGTTCAATAGTTTCTGTTCTACAAGTTTCTACTGAGAGACGTTGTCATTGAATCTCCGTGCCAAGCTCAGAATTTCTGAGTTTAATGTGTTAATAATTTAAAAAGAGAATTCAATAATAAAGCTGCACTTGCCAAAATAAATTATTGGCCCACTGAAGAACAATGATTGAAAATGGATAACTAATGTCTATACCCACTTAGAGAAAACAAAGATTAGCTGTCAGTATTTAGGGCTGTGGACACCACTGACACCTGGGCCCTGGCTCAGGAGAGGAGCAGGTCACCACGGAGAACAAGGGTCCTTCACACACAACCTCCTAGGAAAGCAGCAGGATGCTGACCCATCATTTGACACAAAGACACAAGCCCCTCCCCCTGTGGAGGATTCTAAGGAACTCAGGATGGGGTGAGCCTGCCCTCAGGGGGAGTCCAGGACAGTTATAGGTGAGGACACTGTCACTCAAGAGGCAAAGGGTTACTAGAGCTGATCTCGGTGTCTGGAATGGGGTGGTGCTGGGAAAATATCACTATCTTGTGATGAGAATCTCCACACCTATACCCACCAGCAAAAGACCTCGGATTCCTGCTGGGGGTATTGGCAGAGCCTGAGGAGCACTGACAATCAATAACAAATGCTGGAAAGAAATGGCAATGCCTACAGAAGTGCTGACCCAGTGGCCCCCGTGAAGCACAGCCACATGGGCCTGCTGGAATGGGTTCTAGAAGAGAGACATCCCTGAAAAGCAGTCACTGAAAACCTCAGCCTCTGCAGGGAGCACAACAGTAAATAAAACTCAGTCCTTGGTTCTAAAGAGCTTATGTCGTACATGTGGTCCAGCAAGGACCTGACAAAACACACACGCCCACACGGATGAGGGAGCCTGACCCCCTGTGCAAAGGAAGGAGGGCAACATGGTGCCCAGACTGACACAACTAAAGTTTGTTGGGAGCCCTGACCGGTTTGGCTCGGTGGATAGAGCATTGGTGTGCGGACTGAAAGCTCCCGGGTTCGATTCCAGTCAAGAGCATGTACCTTGGTTGTGGGCACATCCCCAGTGGGAGGTGTGAAAAAGGCAGTCTATCAATGTTTCTCTCCACGATGTTTCTAACTCTCTGTCCCTCTCCCTTCCTCTCCATAAAAAATAAAATATATAATCAAAAGTCTGTTGGGAATTTAAAATAGAAAATTAATAGTTCAGATTGGTGACATCTTTTTAAAAATCCTAAAAGAAAACAACAACAAAAAACGGAAGTGAAAGGGGAAAGAAATGTTTAGAAAATGAAAATTGTGGTGTTCCCTATTTAAGGGCCCTGCCTAGAAAGAAGGTCACTGCAGAACTTCTGGCCCAAGGTTGTTCACCAGACGCCCAGCTCAGCCAGGCCAGCAGCCCCCCCTTTGCCCATGGCCCTCCTGCTCTCTCTGCTCACGGCCCTGGTGCTGCTCAGCTCTGGCCCAGCTAGAACTCTGGGCTGTGACCCACTTGAGGACCACGTCCTGCTCAGCAGGGAGAACGTAGAACTTCTGAGAGACATGAACAGCATCTCCCCTCTCTTCTGCCTGAAGGACAGACAGCACTTCCGATTCCCCCGGGCAGTGGTGGATGGCAGCCAGGTCCAGAAGGCCCAGGCCCTCTCTGTGCTCCACCAGATGCTCCAGCAGATCTCCGACCTCCTGGCCACAGAGAACTCCTCTGTCCCCTGGAACACAACCCTCGTGGACCTGCTGCGCACAGGACTCCATCGGCAGCTGGAAGACCTGGACACCTGTTGGGCGCGGGAGATGGGAGAGGAGGGACCTGCCCTGGCCACACAGGGCCCCACCCTGGCCTTGAAGAGGTACTTCCAGGGCATCCGTCTCTACCTGAAGGAGAAGCAATACAGTGACTGCGCCTGGGAAGTTGTCAGAGTGGAAATCCTGAGGTCCTTCTCCTCAACAATAGCCGCCTTGCAGGAAAGGCTCAGAAATGAGGATGGAGACGTGGGGTCGCCTTGAAAGGATTCTCGCTGATGAATGTGCCACCTCACCTTTGCCCATAGGTTCTTGGTCATGGGCAACGGATCTTCTATCTGCTTCAATCACAGAACTTACTGAACTTTACTCAGCAAATCTGTTGTCACATTCTTAAGGAAGAAAATGTTACCTACCAATAGTGCCTGATAGGTTACTGCCTGAATGGTTATTTATTTATTTATTTATTTATTTATTTATTTATTCTTATCATATTTATGTATTTATATAACCAATATTTGTTCTTACCTTGTATTAAAATTTACAAAGCATGTAACTTTTTTAAAGTTATTAAATTTGTGTTTTGTTTTATTCATTAAATTGTTACCAAAGAAAACTTCCTGAGTTTTTTACTTCTGCAAACCTACATCCTTATTGGTTGAATCTATCTCAAAACAGCACTCTCTTTTTAAGTCCTTTACAACAGTCCCCCACTCCTCAGGAAGTGCCTATGGAAAGCTGGAAACCCATGGAATTGAGAAGAGCCCTGGAAAACAAGGAAGATGTTCGGTTTTTATGTCAGAATTGTAACGGGTTTCTATTCGGTCAGCAAGAGGAGAGGGTAGGGGTATCTGGGAGGAGTCTGTAGAGCGAAGTGGAAAGGATACAGGGTGTTTGTTGGCTGATATTGGCATCTGGTCCTCCTACCACAGCCTCCCAGTCCTGGTCCACTGGAAGGATTCCCTCCCTTCCCGCCCCGCCCTGGCTGCCTCTGGCTCAGGAGTGGTTTCTGCTTCCAGGTGTCTCATCAGCAGAAAAGCCAAAGGGAGAGAGCAGCTGTGGAGTGGCAGCTCTAAGCTGTTCAAAAACGGTTGCAGACAGTTGTGCTTCTAGGAGTGTGCTGATGGAGGTCTCTGGGCCCTGAGCAAATGCCGATGTTACAGTGATGGCAGTGAAGGGAATCAGCAATTTCCCATAACTGCGTGTGTCATGTGTGACTATCTCAGCGAGCAGGGAGAGAGACCAGTTTGGGAGGATTTCTTGAACCTGTCCCTCTGAAGACCTGGCAAACACTTCAGTTCACTTGTCAATAAATTGCGGGTAATACTTCAATACATTTTTATCCTTTACCTTCCTCTCCTCTACTGCTCTTCTCCATGGACCAGTGTATGAAACCTGGACCCTTCAGTCTGCTGGCCAAAGCCCTATTGGTCAGGGCTAAATATTTTTTAAAGTTTAAACGAATGTGTTAATAGTTTTTACGTTTCAAATAAATTAAAAATATTACAACGATATTTATTTCATTCTAAAATATTTTAAAAGTTTAATTATTTGCTGTTTTAATATAAAATAGTAATTTAATATTTTCAGTAGCACCAGGAGAAGCAGTTTTAATACTCTCACTTTCCCGTTGTTTTTTTGTTTTTTGTTTTTCTTTTAACTTTCCTCAGGGGCTCTGTAACGTGGTGACCCCAAAGCCCTGAGGAGCCGCCACTCCAGGCCCAGCGCCCAGCTCAGCCCCCAGCGCCCCCAGTGGGGCCCTCGCTGTCCCCCTGGAGATCCAGGCTCTGAGTCTGGTCACATCTGGCACACAAAGCGCCCCGATTCTGCACAAACCCCCCACATGCTCTGGACCCGCAGAGAATGGATTCTGGTGACAATGGCCTCACGGAACTTCCCGCAAAAGGAAAGCCCCATTCTTAGTTTTTTGAGGAAGCTTCATACTGTTCTCCACAGTGGCTGCACCAGTCTGCATCCCCACCAGCAGTGCACAAGGGTTCCCTTGTCTCTGCATCCTCGCCAGCACTAGTCAGTTTGTTGCTGTGTTGATGATAGCCATTTTGACAGGTGTCAGATGGTACTGCATTGTTGTTTTGATTTGCATCTCTCGGATAATTAGTGACTTTGAGCATGTTTTCATATGACTCTCGGCCTTCCTTCGGTCTTCTTTTGAAAAGATTCTATTTAGGTTCGTTGCCCATTTTTTTTTCCTTTATACTAGATCATTTATATTTCTTTTATTAAGTTGTGTAAGTTCCCCGGAGATCTCGGAGATTAAACCCTTATCAGTGATAACATTTGCAAATATGTTCTCCCATGTAGTGGGCTTTCTTGTTGTTTCGTTGATGGTTTCTTTTGCTGTGAAGAAGTTTTTTATTTTGATATAGTCCCATTTATTTATTTTCGCTTTAGTTTCCATTGCCCTAGGAGCAGTATCAGTGAAGAAGTTCCTTCGGCATATGTCTGAGATTTTGCTGCCTGTGGATTCCTCTAGTATTTTTATGGTTTCCCGTCTTATGTTTAAGTCCTGTATCCATTTTGAGTTTATTTTTGTGTATGGTGTAAGTTGGTGGTCTAGTTTCATTTTTTTCTGCATTTAACTGTCCAATTTTCCCAACACCATTTATTGAAGAGACTATCTTGACTCCATTGTATGTGCACACCTCCTTTGTCAAATATTAATTGAGCATAGTGGTTTGGGTCGATATCTGGATTCCTCAAAAACCTAAAAATGGAGCTCCCATTTGACCCAGTGATCTCACTTCTAGAAATTTATCTCAAGAAACTAGAAACACCAATCAGAAAGGACATATGCACCCCTATGTTCACAGCAGCACAATTCACCATAGCTAAGATTTGGAAACAGCCTAAGTGCCCATCAGCAGATGAGTGGATTAAAAAACTGTGGTACATCTACACAATGAAATACTACACTGCTGTAAAAAAGAAGGAACTCTTACAATTTGCAGCAGCATGGATGAACCTGGAGAGCATTATATTAAGGGAAATAAGACAGGCAATGAAAAAACAACAACAACAACAACAAAAACAACAACAACCACATCTCACTCATTTATGGAAAATGAACATTATAACCTGATGAGCAAAAAGATAGATACAGAGGCAGTACAGCACTGAACACTGTCAAATTACAGCGGGAAGGCTGGGGAGTGCTGGGGAGAGAGGGAAATAGATCAACCAAAGGACTTGTATGCATGCATATGAGCACAACCAATGGACACAAGACACTGGACTGGCGGGTGAGGGAAGATGAGGGCATGCGGCAGGGGGCAGGGAAGGCTGGGGGAAGGTTAATGGTGGTGGGGGGAGGAGATATATGTACTAATATATGTACTGCCTAAACAATAAAAATATACATATATTTCCAGGGGGGGGGGCGGTGAGGAAGGAAAGCCCCAAGCTCCTGGGGAAGCGCAGCCAAGGCCAGGCTCCGTGCTGGCTTCCTAAGAATAACGTCCGCGGGAGGCGCAGGCAGAGCTCCGTCTGCAGCAGCTGCGGCCTCCAAATGGAGACTCTGCCTTCACCATTGAAGCTGCACAAAGTGGCTACGGGGCTGGCCAGTTTCTCTGCTCTCAGACCAGACTGACTGAAAACGAATGTTCAGAGCTCAGCTCTTCACAAAGGCCACGTCACAAAAGGCCTCCTGCGCGCCCTCTGGCGGCCCGCTAGAGAATCACGCTTTCTAGGAATCCCGAGAAGGAAAGTTGCTGCTAATTTTGCCTGCGACTCCTCCTGGCGGTAGCCCCCTGAATCACTGCCATTCTCAATGGCCCACATCTATCTGTGGCTGGTGGCAGGGGCCATGCTCGGCTCCATCCCTGCTGGCTCTCTTGAGGAGGGCATACGTTGGCTCAATATAAGAAACAACAAGAAAGTTTTACTTCTTTTGTATCAACTGCAAAGGATCCCCCCTTACAAGTGCCTGGAAGACAGAAGCAACTTCAAATTTCCTTGGACTCCGGAGGAAATCCTCCAAATGAAGAAGACACAACGCACCTGTCTTCACCACACGATGCTCACGCATATCTTAACTGCCTTCGCAACAAAGCACAGCTTTGCTGAATGGGACCACGACCACCTCTCTGAAGTCCTGTCCATCCTTCATCGGACCCTGGAGGGGCTGGAGAGCCAGGCGAAAGAGGAAGGAAACAGGCTGGCTTGCGCCAAGGTGAGAAGTCTCATCCGGAGGTACTTTCAAGGAATCTACCATTACCTGGAAGAGAAGAAATACAGCTCCTGTGGCTGGGAGGTCGTCTTAGTGGAAATGATGAAACGCCTTGGGACAATGTAACAATCCTCAAAGGAAAGTCAACAAATTCAGAATAAATTTCTATGGTGACTGACTCTCTCTCTCTCTCTCCACTTGCAGTGTTTGCTGAGCCCCCAAACAATCTCCACTCACATTCCTGCACCAGCTGGAAACTACCTGAAACCACAATCAAGGGGTAATGGTAAAAAAAAAAAAAAAAAGTATTGTACGTCATGAATTTACAAAATTATGTTGAGAGAGAGGTACATGATCTGCCTTCTTAGGTAAACAATTTTATGCCATAACTAGAGGCCCTGTGCACGAAATTCATGCGCTGGTAGGGTTCCTAGGGGATTGATGCCAACAGCCGGCCGAGTACCTCCTTCCCTCCCTTGGCACCTGCTGCCTCGGTGGTCAGGAGGGTGAGGGGGTGAGTTAGGAGGTTCACCTCCGTTCCCCCAGTCAGCTCCTCCCTCTGGTCAAACTCCCAGATGAACTCTCGATCCAGGGGACAATTTGTACACTACACTTTTATTATATAGGATATTTTTACTGTTTAATTTTTTGGGGGGGAGGGCAGTGATGGAGGAGGGAGGGGCTATCCACTGTTTCTAAACAGCAAATTTCATTTTTATTTTTTTTTAATGGAAAGGTTCTTCAGGATAATGTTTGGTTAAAGACATTTGCCAGTTAAGTTCAGCATGGCTCTTGTAATTGATCAACAGAAAACGATCCAGACGTTGATCGTTATAGCACTTTACCTTGCGTTTGTAGAAGAGCCCAATGCAAGCATTTCTGATCAGAAGACTTTTAGGTTTGGCTCTTGTGTAAACAATGATTGTAGGTCATGGCACCTTCTATTTGGAAACCTTGTCATTCTGAACACGTGTTGCCAAATTTCTCGGGGAACTTGATTCTATTCTGCCCAGTTGTACAGAAAGCAAATTTGAGTAGATCACCTGTGATGTTTCCAAGGTCAGGACTGTCCGGGGCAATATCACTGATGCTCCCAGCAGTGGGGCTGAACCTATCTCAGGTGATGCGCTAAGTGCAAAGAAGTGAGAAGTAGACTCTGATCTGGTGATCATGGAGCAGGACACAGAGCACACCTAGGAGCACGAAGGAGATGGAAGTCAGCAGGGGCTTGAGAACTGGGCAGAACAGAGAAAGTAAAGCCTGGACTAGAGCAAGCAGGCCCTCAGGAGGGAAACAAGGGGAAGGGCCTGCACTGAGTTACCTGTTTCTGCAGATCATTCTGGTTGCCAGGGGGACAAGATGGAAGTGGATGCTGAGAGCAGAGCTCTCCCACAGAGACGGGGCCAACAGCAGTGTCCCCAGCACAGGCGACTCTGACCCCACAGCAGCCTGCTGGGGATTGGAGAGACCACGGTTACTCCAGAGCCAGCGACAAAGTTGTTTCAATTGTCAGAAAATTCTCTCTTTAGAGCTATGTAAAAGGAATGTTGACTACTTTTCCTTATAACTTGAAGTCAGTCAGTTCTGTGGACTCAGACCACACTGGTGATGTCACACAGAACAATAGACACAAATCCACTGGCATTTGAAGTGGAACTTGGAATCCCTTGTCACCCTCCCCTCCCTGCCCAGTGCTCTCATGCCGTGGTGTCTCCTTGGTTCATAAATTCCATGTCCAATTCTATCCCTGTCTTCTGTTAACAGGCCCTTCAGACAATCCGTTATCTTAAACTTTTTAAGGGTTTGACCTTGGATTCGTGGTACCTTCCAAATAATTCACCACTCCCGATTTATACTGCATAATAGTGGTATAAACAAGTTTAATACAAATAGGATTACTGAGAAGATTGAATTCACCATTTCAAAGATTTTAGAACAGTGGATAGACCATAGTTAGCATGCAATAAAAACTTTGTTTTAATTATTATTTAGATTAAGAGCACACTCTTTTCGTATCATCCAACTCCATTTCTCTCAAATCTACAATGCTCAAGACAATCTTCCAGCAGCTGAGAGGATTTGTTAATCAGATCGAGCAGGTACATCAGATTAATATCCACTAGGCAGCAGGGAGGGTCCTGCTCCAGCAGGGCGTGTTGTGGTCATCAGTCTTCTGAGAGTTGGTTACTGTGAGTCTTCCCTTTAGTCCTCAGAGCTGCTCCCATGAGCATTAAATGACAGGAAAGTGACTCGGCTGGTCACTGGCCCAGGAGGTCCTGTTCTTTGAGCCTCTGGTAGAGGCAGCCCATCCCTGAGTTGGTGTAGCTCAGGGCTGGCTCCATCCTCCCTCTGCCTCAGCACCAGGCACCTGTGTAGCTGCTACCAATTCTGCCAACTTACACCTTGTTTTCTTGTCATCAGAAGTCACTTCCCTTCTTTCTCTTCTATGACAGTCAGAATTCTATTTGTTTCATTTTTGCTCACAAATAACTGTCAATTTTACTTTCTGCGAAAGTTGAAAAGGCAAATAAAAAGTCTGACATCATGATAATTATAGAGGAAAATGGTGAAGTCCCTTTGTGTTTCTTTACTCCTCATTGCTTGTAATAACCACAGAGTGAAGTAGAAAGCAATGTGTGATTGCCCAGCTGGCCTGGCTCAGTGGCTGAGCATCAATCTGTAAACCAGGAAGTCACGGTCTGGTTTCTGGTCAGGACAGGTGCCTAGCTTGTGGGCTTGATGCCCAGTAGGGAGTGTGCAGGAGGCAGCCCATCAATGACTCTCTCTTATCATTCAAGTTTCTATCTGGCTCTTCCTCACCCTTTCTCTCTAAAATCAATACAAATATATTTTAAAATCTAATATACATATTATTTAAAAAGTAATGCCAGAGGAGCAAGACAGACTATGCCCAGGAAACTGCTGTAATGACTATGTGGTTATTTACATGTAAAATGAAGCACCATGCATAATTAAGGGAAGAAGGCTGTTTCGCCCTGACTTAGCAGCCTGAGCCTCACTGCCCTGCACCCTGAGCATGAGACAGAGGGAGGAACAGCGAAGCCCAATAGAAACACACAGACTGAATGAGCAGCTGGAGTTCACCAGTTTGTGTTCTACAAGTTTCTACTGAGAGACTTCAGCATTGAATCACCTGTGCCCCGCTCAGAAATTCTGAGGTTAATGTGTTCAATAATTTAAGTAGATACTTGAATAATAAAAACTACACCAGCACAACATAAAAGGAAACTGGACCATCAACTCACACTATACACAAAATAAACTCAAAATGGATAAAAGATTTAAATGTGAAACATGATAACCATAACAATCCTAGAAGAAACCATCGGCGGCAGAACCTCAGACACCTCTCAGAGCAATATGTTTGTGGGTACAACTTCAAGGGCAAAGGACAATAAGGAGAAAATAAACAAATGCGACAACATCAAATTAAAGAGCTCTGCACAGCAAAAGAAACCATCAACACAATGAAAAGGGAGCCCAGTGTGTGGGAGAACATATTTGCCCATGATACATCTGATAAAGCGTTACTATCCAAAATTTATAAGGAACTCATACAACTTAACAAAGTGAAGACAAACAATCCAATTAAAAAATGGGCAAAGGACCTAAATAGACACTTCTCCAAACAGGACATACAGATGGCCAAGAAACATATGAAAAGATGCTCAAAGTCACTGATTATCAGAGAGATGCAAATTGAAACAACAATGAGGTATCACCGCACATCTGTCAAAATAGCTACCATCAACGAATGGCCAGTGCTGGTGAGGATGTGGAGAAAATGGAACCCTAGTACACTGCTGGTGGGAATGAAGACTCATGTAACCATTGTGGGAAGTAGAATGGAGTTTCCTCAAAAATGGAAATGCCACTTGGTCCAGTGATCCCACTTCTATGGGATCTAATGTATTCTGACAGAAATACAAAACACCAATCAGGAAGAGTTAATGCACTCCTGTGTGGCACAATTTACAATAGCTCAGATCTAGAAACAGCCCAAGTGCCCATCAGTAGAGGAAGGGATTGAAAAGCCCACTGAAGATCAATGATTGCAATTGCATAAGTAACGCCTCCACCTACTTAGACAAAACAAACGTTTGCTGTCAGCATTTAGGGCTGTGGGCACCACTGACACCTGGGTCCTGGCTCAGGAGGAGGTCACCACAGAGGACAAAGGTCCTTCACAGGAACACTCCTGGGGGAAGGGTGAGGATCCTGACAGATTCTTTTGCCAACAAAGACACAAGCCCCTGTAATGTCAGGGGATTCTGAAGACCTCAGGATGAGGTGAACCTGCCCCTCAGGGAGTGAGTCCACTAGAGTTTGGGCTGAGGACACTGTCACTCCAGAGGCAAAGCATTATCAGAGCTGATATCATCCGTGGTGCTGGGAAAATATTACTATCTTGTTATGAGAATCTCCACACCTACGCCCACCAGCAAAGAACCCCGATTCCTGCTGGGGGTATTGGCACAAAGATCCGCTGGAGCATCTGGTGGAGGACAGAGGTGGCCTGGGCCTTCTGGACCTGGCTGCCACCCGCCGTTGCCTGGGGGAATCTGAAGTGCTAACTTCACGGGGAGCCCTAACAACCAGCGACAAATGCCAGAAGGAAATGGCAATGTCTAGAGAAGTCCTGACCTAGTGGCCCCCGAGAAGCATAACCACATGGCCCTGCAGGAATGGGTTCTAGAAGAGAAACAGCCCCGAAACGCAGTCACTGAAAACCTCATACCGGTGGTACATAAAACAGTAAATGAAACTCACTCCTTGGCTCTAAAGAGTTTATTTCCCAACCATGGTTTGCTAAGTGCCTGACAAAGTACACAAACCCACAGAGGGATGAGGGAGCCTGACTCCCATGTTGCCCAGAGTCAAGGCAAACTTTTACTTCTAATACAAAGAACAATATGTATGCAGTGTATTTATGTACATGAGTATGTACCTATGTGAGTATTTGCACTCCTACCTAGGACACTTTAACTTTTAAACAAAGACGTTTCTCATTTGATTGACAAGTATGCACTTAGAAGGCACTTATCAGTAATGTAGATTGATGACATCTTCTTAGACTACCTAAAGGAAATAAAAAAAGGAAGTGAAAGGGGAAAGAAATGCTTAGAAAATGAAAATTGTGGTGTTCCCTATTTAAGGGCCCTGCCTAGAAAGAAGGTCATTGGAGAAGTCTTGGCCCAAGGTTGTTCACCAGACGCCCAGCTCAGCCAGGCCAGCAGCCCCTCCTTTGCCCATGGCCCTCCTGCTCTCTCTGCTCATGGCCCTGGTGCTGCTCAGCTCTGGCCCCGCTGGAGCTCTGGGCTGTGACCTGCTTGAGGACCACGTCCTGCTCAGCAGGGAGAACTTAGTGCTTCTGAGCCAAATGAGCACCATCTCCCCTCTCTTCTGCCTGAAGGACAGACAGCACTTCCGATTCCCCCGGGCAGCGGTGGATGGCAGCCAGGTCCAGAAGGCCCAGGCCCTCTCTGTGCTCCACCAGATGCTCCAGCAGATCTCTGACCTCCTGGCCACAGAGAACTCCTCTGTCCCCTGGAACACGACCCTCGTGGACCAGCTGCGCACAGGACTCCATCGGCAGCTGGAAGACCTGGACCCCTGTTGGGAGCAGGAGATGGGAGAGGAGGGACCTGCCCTGGCCAAGCAGAGCCCCACCCTGGCCTTGAAGAGGTACTTCCAGGGCATCCATCTCTACCTGAAGGAGAAGCAATACAGTGACTGCGCCTGGGAAGTTGTCAGAGTGGAAATCCTGAGGTCCTTCTCCTCAACAAGAGCCTTGCAGGAAAGGCTCAGAAATGAGGATGGAGACGTGGGGTCACCCTGAAAGGATTCTCGCTGATGAATGTGCCACCTCACCTTTGCCCATAGGTCCTGGGTCATGGGCATCGGCTCTCTATCTGCTTCAGGCACAGAACTTATTAAGTTTTATTCAGCAAATCTTTTCGCAGTCCCTAATAGTTAATGCTGTGATGTTATTTATTTATCTATGCACATATTTATTTATTGTTTCTGAATTTACTATTTATTATTTCATATTATCCTATTGATACATTTACATACCAATAGTTGCCATGACCTTGTATTCAAATGTACAAAACCTGTTTCCTTTTTCTGCTATCAAACTTGCATTTTGCTATATTTATTAAAACTTATCAAAATAACTCCTTGAGTTCTTTTATTTTGAAAACCTAAGTCCTTAATTTTTCTACATAGACCGATTTCAACAAACTACATATCTATTAAGTCCTATAGAATAGTCTCACCACTTGTGAGGAAATGCCTATCCAAAGCTGGAAAGGCACGGAATTGGGAAGAGCCTGGGAAAGTATGGGGGACATTCACGGGTTAAGTCTGAGTTGTAGCTGATTTCCATTCCATCAGCAAGGAGCAGTGGGTAGAAACATCGGAGTGGAGTGGGAAAGTTTTACAGTCTTCGTTGGCTGGAAATAAGATCTTTAAAGGTACGCGTGGAAACCTCTGAGAAGTGAGATGTGTAGGTTAGCGGTCATTTCCCAACACACCACACTCTGTGGATTGGACTGTGTCTCCAGATCGACCCTTTTCACAGCGCTGCTTATTGGTTCAAGAAGTGGTTCTGTAGCCAGAGCTTTGGGCTGGATCCTAACTCTAATTTAACAGCAGCGGGACCTTGATAATCAGTGTAAACACTGATGGTCCCGTGTCTCCTCTCTTTTAACGAAGGGACAATTACAGTGGTTTTTCATAGGATTTTTGTCCGGATGAAAAGAATAAATACACACAGAAAGCATAAAGCAGTGCCTGGCAAACAGTCACCACAGAGGGGTGATCCTCAGGCAGGAGCCCGGTGAGCTGGTTGAGGCCAGGCCTGGAAGGCAACCCTGGGGAGCTGGGAGGCCCTGGCATGATGGGTCTTGCTCCTGTGTTTTGACACGGGTACTAGTGTCACAGTCCATTCAATGAATGAACATTCCTGTCCTATTTGCTGGAGATACATGCAATTTCTGTGCATTATCCTTCTAAAAGGGCTCCTGGCAATTAGTAGAAATTGTTGGTCCATTTTGGACCTCCCCAAGCTGAGCAGTGATGGGGTCCAGGCTGATGGTTCGAAGGCAGAAAGGGAAACTCATCCAGTATGTAGAGTTAAAACTGCAGCAAGTAATGCCAGCTGTACCGGTTAATAATGCGGATTTTGTAATAAAAGAAAACATGATAATTTCAAGAGAAACATCAAAGTGCTTTATTCAAAGTAATGTCCATCGCCAGCTACACATTTCCCCGATCTTTCAGGTAATTTGTGGACACCATCCAATAGAACTTTTCTTGTTTTGAGGCAAACCATTCAGAAACCCAATTTCCCACCTCTTCATACATTTTGATGTGCTGCTCAGAAAGTGCATGTGCCATCGATCAGAACAAGTGGTAATCTGAAGGAGCAAGGTCTGGTGAATACAGCGGGTGGATTGATTCCTCGCAGGAAGATCTTTTAATATGTCTTTAACTGGTTTTGAAGTGTGTGATGGTGCATCATCATAAGCAAAAGTACTTTGCCATCTTCTGGCCCATTCTGGTCGTTTTACAATAAAAAAGTGGCTCAAATTGTTTATTTGTTATCGGTAGCAATCAGTATTAACAATTTCACCTGGTTTTAGAAGCTCATAACACACCACACCTTCCTGATCCCACCAAACGCAGAGCATTGTCTTCTTTCCGAAGCTATTTGGCCTTGCAGTCCATGTTGATGGTTGACCCAGATCAACCCATGACTTTGTGCTTTTGGGATTCTCAAAATAAATCCACTTTCCTCGCCAGTCAGAAAAGTTTTTTGTGCAGTTAAAGCAACATTTTACTGGTGTTTTTTTGATGTTCCATTTGTCTTTTGTTTAGCTGATGTGGCACCATTTTTCTTCCTTTAAAACAGCGTTTCTTGACCTGTGGCTTGAGACCCCTTTGGAAGTCAAACGACCCTTTCACCAGGGTTGCTTAAGACCATCGGAAAGCACAGATATTTACATTACAATTCATAACGGTAGCAAAATTACAGTTATGAAGTAGCAACAAAAATAACTTTATGGTTGGGGGCACCACAACATGAGGAACTGTATTAAAGGGTTGAGGCATTAGGAAGGTGGAGAACCACTGCTTTAAAATCTTTCCCATTGCTTGTAAATGACCATACGTTTTTGGCTGAGCAACATTTATCTTTCTGCAAGTTGTTTTTGAGTTTGACATGCATCTTCATCCAATAATGCTTGTAATTGTTGGTCTTCAATCTTTTTTGGTTGACGTTCTTTGTCTTTCACATAGAAATCATCACTTTTAAAGCATTTAAACCAGTGTTCACAAGTATCTTGAGATGGAGCATGTTCACCATAAGCTTCCCTGATCCTATACGATAACTTTCCAAAGTATACGATAATTCTCAGCAGCACTTTTCTTCAAAATAAAGAATGGAAACTTCTTGCAAATGCTTTTTTTTGGGGGTGGGGGGCGGGAAGCATGAAATTCTAATTTTTAAGTGTAAAAATATATATGATGTTAACATCTTCAGAAAATTTTACATATGAAGTTTTGAAACTTGCTGTCAATACAACAAAATAGCATACATATCAAAGCACATATATATTAACATATGTGTAACTCCATTAATCAGTACACCTGGTATGCATATCCCTCTTCTCTTTGATGGTCTTTATTCCTTTCCACATGTACTCTTTGAACTCATACACACCTACACTGTAAACATGCCAGAGGCATCTTAGGGGCATGTACATGTTATAGATGCCACAGAGTTTAAGAAGGGCTCACATCTGAGTCATCAAGATACACAATACTTCCAGGCAATATAAAAAAATGAATTGTCCTAACTGGGGGTGTGCCCGCAACCAACGTACATGCCCTTGACCGGAATCGAACCTGGAACCCTTCAGTCCTCAGGCCACCACCCTATCCCCTGAGCCAAGACGGTCAGGGCTCAATATTTTTTAAAGTTTAATGGAATGTGTTAATAGTTTTACGTTTAAAATATATTAAGTATTTACAGCGATATTTATTCAATTCTAAACTACTTAAATATTTTAAAAGTTCAATTAAATGGTGTTTTAATATATTTTTTAAATATTAAGACTTCGTTTATATGTAAAATTAAAATATTTTAATATTTTGAATACCTTCAGGAAGAGCCGTTTTAAAGCTCGCACTATCCTGTTTGTTTGTTTTTAACTTTCCTCCGTGGCTCTCGAAGGCTGTAACGTGGAAACATCACACGGAATGTCCCAGCGCCCTCCTCCCCGCGCTCCCGGCTCCGAATCCGGGCGCATCTCGTGCACAAAGCGCCCCGATTGTGCACAACCCCCCCCACACGCTCTGCTCCCACCTCTGGCCTCGCAGCCTCGCTGGAGCTTCCAACAAAACGAGAGCCCGAGCGGAAACTGGTTTGGCTCAGCGGTAGAGCGTAGGTCTGCGGACTGAAAGGTCCCAGGTGCGATTCCAGGTCAAGGGCATGTGCCTTGGTTGCGGGCACATCCCCAGTAAGGGGTGTGCAAGAGGCAGCTGGTTTATGTTTCTCTCTCATTGATGTTTCTAGCTCTCTATCTCTCTCCCATCCTTTCTGTAAAAAAATCAATTATATATATATATATATATATATATATATATATATATATATATATATATATATATATTTTTTTTTTTAAAGGGGAACCGCGCTTCCTAGGGACCCCAAGGGAAGGTGCTGCTCATGGTGTCCCCAGTAACCCTGGCTCTATCTGTTCCTAAGCCAAGCCCTTCCCCCCAAAGCAGCCTGCACCCAAATGCACCAATGTCCAAGCTCCCTTTTCCAAAACGCAACCCTTCCCAACACACAGTCTGTGCCAAAAAGCAGCCTTTCTCCCGAAAAGTAGTCTGAATAGAAACTCACCCATTTTCAGCCCCGTTTTCCAAATCCTGGCCCCGCACACAGCACAGCCTGTGTCCACGAGGAGCCTTTCCCCCAACAGTCGTCTTTACCAAAACGCACCATCTTCAAGCACCCTTTTGCAAAACGCAGTCCTTGGAAAATCTCAGCCTTTCCAAAACGATGCAGCCTTTCTCCATCCCCACCCCCCAGTTGCCTTTACCATGCTCACCCTCTTTCAAAAGGCAGCCCTTCTCAAAACACAGCCTGTGCCCAAAAGGAGCCTTTACCAAAACGCACCATCTTCAAGCAGCCTTTTACAAAACGCAGGTTGGGAGGATGTTTCCTCACTATAAAAGCAGCAGAAAGTCCCTGGGTAGGGACTTCCTTGGCTGAGCCCAGACCTACAGCAAAGCAAGGCTACCAAGAAGGTTTTTCAGAAAAGCCACTGCGCGCCCCCTTGCGGCCTGCTGGAGAATCGCGCTTCCAGAAAACCAAAGATGACCCGCTGCTGCTCATGGGCCTGACACTCCCCCTGCCATTCCCAATGGCCCAGATCTCTGTGTGGCTGGTGGCAGGGGCCATGCTCTGCTCCAGCTCTGCTGGCTCTCTGGAGGGGGACACACTTTGAATCCAGAGAGAAGACAACTTGAGAGTCTTCAATCTTTTGAGGCAACTGCAAAAGACTCCCCTCCCCCTCACTTATGCCTGGGTGACAGAAACAACATAAAATTTCCTTGGAATAGGGGGACAGTCAATGCACCTGTCTGCACCATCCAATGATTCTGCAGATGTTCACCCTCTTCAGTGCACAGCGCAGCCTTGCTGCATGGGACCACACGCTCCTCTCCCAGCTCCTCTCCAGCCTTCATTATGGCCTGGAGCACCTGGAGCCCCTGGAGCCCCTGGAGCACCTGGAGCATCTGGAGCATCTGGAGCACCTGGAGCCCTTGGAGCATCTGGAGCCCCTGGAGCCCTTGGAGCACCTGGAGCCACTGGAGCCCCTGGAGCATCTGGAGCCCCTGGAGCCCCTGGAGCCCCTGGAGCATCTGGAGCCCCTGGAGCCCCTGGAGCATCTGGAGCACCTGGAGCCCCTTGAGCCCCTGGAGCATCTGGAGCCCCTGGAGCCCCTGGAGCATCTGGAGCATCTGGAGCACCTGTAGCCCCTGGAGCCCCTGGAGCATCTGGAGCCCCTGGAGCATCTGGAGCATCTGGAGCACCTGTAGCCCCTGGAGCCCCTGGAGCCCCTGGAGCATCTGGAGCCCCTGGAGCCCCTGGAGCCCCTGGAGCCCCTGGAGCATCTGGAGCACCTGGAGCCCCTGGAGCATCTGGAGCCCCTGGAGCCCCTGGAACATCTGGAACACCTGGAGCCTCTGGAGCATCTGGAGCCCCTGGAGCCCCTGGAGCCCCTGGAGCCCCTGGAGCCCCTGGAGCATCTGGAGCCCCTGGAGCCCCTGGAGCCCCTGGAGCCCCTGGAGCATCTGGAGCCCCTGGAGCCCCTGGAGCCCCTGGAGCATCTGGAGCCCCTGGAGCCCCTGGAGCCCCTGGAGCATCTGGAGCCCCTGGAGCATCTGGAGCCCCTGGAGCCCCTGGAGCCCCTGGAGCCCCTGGAGCCCCTGGAGCATCTGGAGCCCCTGGAGCCCATGGAGCCCCTGGAGCCCCTGGAGCCCCTGGCGCCCCTGGAGCATCTGGAGCCCCTGGAGCCCCTGGAGCATCTGGAGCCCCTGGAGCCCCTGGAGCATCTGGAGCCCCTGGAGCCCCTGGAGCATCTGGAGCCCCTGGAGCCCCTGGAGCATCTGGAGCCCCTGGAGCCCCTGGAGCCCCTGGAGCCCCTGGAGCCCCTGGAGCATCTGGAGCATCTGGAGCCCCTGGAGCATCTGGAGCATCTGGAGCATCTGGAGCCCCTGGAGCCCCTGGAGCCCCTGGAGCCCTGGAGCATCTGGAGCCCCTGGAGCCCCTGGAGCACCTGGAGCCCCTGGAGCCCCTGGAGCCCCTGGAGCCCCTGGAGCATCTGGAGCCCCTGGAGCCCCTGGAGCATCTGGAGCACCTGCAGCCCCTGGAGCATCTGGAGCCCCTGGAGCCCCTGGAGCCCCTGGAGCACCTGGAGCCCCTGGAGCCCCTGGAGCACCTGGAGCCCCTGGAGCCCCTGGAGCCCCTGGAGCATCTGGAGCCCCTGGAGCCCCTGGAGCACCTGGAGCCCCTGGAGCATCTGGAGCATCTGGAGCCCCTGGAGCATCTGGAGCCCCTGGAGCCCCTGGAGCCCCTGGAGCCCCTGGAGCATCTGGAGCCCCTGGAGCATCTGGAGCCCCTGGAGCCCCTGGAGCCCCTGGAGCCCCTGGAGCATCTGGAGCCCCTGGAGCCCCTGGAGCCCCTGGAGCACCTGGAGCACCTGCAGCCCCTGGAGCATCTGGAGCCCCTGGAGCCCCTGGAGCCCCTGGAGCACCTGGAGCCCCTGGAGCTCCTGGAGCACCTGGAGCACCTGGAGCCTCTGGAGCCCCTGGAGCCCCTGGAGCATCTGGAGCCCCTGGAGCCCCTGGAGCATCTGGAGCCCCTGGAGCCCCTGGAGCATCTGGAGCCCCTGGAGCCCCTGGAGCCCCTGGAGCACCTGGAGCCCCTGGAGCCCCTGGAGCCCCTGGAGCCCCTGGAGCACCTGGAGCCCCTGGAGCCCCTGGAGCACCTGGAGCCCCTGGAGCATCTGGAGCCCCTGGAGCCCCTGGAGCATCTGGAGCCCCTGGAGCCCCTGGAGCATCTGGAGCCCCTGGAGCACCTAGAGCACCTGGAGCCCCTGGAGCCCCTGGAGCATCTGGAGCCCCTGGAGCCCCTGGAGCCCCTGGAGCACCTGGAGCACCTGGAGCCTCTGGAGCATCTGGAGCCCCTGGAGCCCCTGGAGCATCTGGAGCCCCTGGAGCCTCTGGAGCATCTGGAGCCCCTGGAGCCCCTGGAGCATCTGGAGCCCCTGGAGCCCCTGGAGCATCTGGAGCCCCTGGAGCACCTGGAGCCTCTGGAGCATCTGGAGCCCCTGGAGCCCCTGGAGCATCTGGAGCCCCTGGAGCATCTGGAGCCCCTGGAGCCCCTGGAGCATCTGGATCCCCTGGAGCCCCTGGAGCATCTGGAGCCCCTGGAGCCCCTGGAGCATCTGGAGCCCCTGGAGCCCCTGGAGCATCTGGAGCCCCTGGAGCCCCTGGAGCACTTGGAGGAAAGGGAAGAAGAAGATCAGGCATGTCCCAAGGTGGGAATTCTCCTGCGGAAGTATTTCCAAAGAATCCATAGCTACCTGAGAGGGAAGAACTACAGCGCCTGTGCCTGGGAGGTGGTCAGAGTGGAAATGACACTTCGCATTGCAATCCTGTACCAATCCTCAAAGGAAAGTCAGCACACTCAGAATTACGTTCTATGGTGACTGGCTCTCTCTTTTCAATCGCATCCTTTGCTGAGCCCCAAAACGATCTCCAATCACATTTCTGCACCAGCTGAGAAATGCCTGACTCCAAAATCAAGGGGTTATTTTAAAAAAAATACCTTGTACATCATGGATTTACAAAAAGTGTGTTTAGAATGCTGGTGATCTGCTTTCTTGAATAAACAGTTTCATGACATAATGGTTTGTGTGTTTCATTTTGGGGAGGGTGGTGGTTTGGGGGCCAGAAGGGCTATTTGCTGTTTCCAAATTGGACATTATCTCTGTTTTTTGTTTTTTTTCAATGGGTAGATTCTTCAGGATGAGGTTTGGTTAGAGACATTGGCCAGTGAAGTTCTCGCTGGCTCTTGTACCTGATCCCAGGGCACTTCCCAGGCTGTGGCCACCAGGGAACTTTCCTTTTCCTTCCTGTCAGAGCGCAAAGCCAGCACTCCTGACCAGAGAACTCCTCTGAGTGGCTGTTGGTAAACAGGGCTCCATGGTCACGGTGGCTCCTGCTCCTCTGGCACTTTGCCACATTCAGCATGTGTGGCCACATGCTCTGGGCACTCCAGTCCCCTCTTCCCAAGGGTGCGGGAGGCAGCAGGCTTTCTTTCTCTAAATGTATCTCTGAAGCCATCACAGCCTTTTCCTCAACGCATCCCCTCCCCCAGGGCAGGGGGTCCCACAGCCAGCCTCTTCGGCAGGCAAACTTCCGCCAGAGCCGCCCTTTCTGAAACAGGGACCATCTCCAGACGCAGCCCTTCCCTGGACTCAGCCTTTCTCAAAAAGGAGCCTTTCTCCACAGGCAGCCGCTCCCTTACCAAAGACTTTAGCAAAATGCAGTCTTTCTCTAAACAGGCCCTTCCTCCCAGTGCGCCCTTCCTAGAGCGAGACCCAGCCTTTCCCCCCAAATGCCGCCTTTCCCCAATGCACGCTTTTTCAAAATGCAGCGCCTCCCAAAGGCAGCCTTTCTGTGAAGGCAGCTTTCCCCCCAAAGATCCCGTTCCCAACAGGCAGCCCTTCCCATCACTCAGACTGGACCAAAACGCAGCCCTTTCCAGAACGCAGCCTCTCCCTGTGACAGCCTTTTCCACAGCAAACTGCCTCCGAGTGCAGCTCCTTCTAAAACACGGACCTTCCCAAACGCATCCTTTACCAAAACGCAGCCTTACTGAAAAAGAAGCCTCTGTCCATGTGCAGCCTACCTACTCCCTACCAAAGACTTTACCGAAACGCAGCCCTTCCCAAACCCAGCCCTTCCCCAGAGGAAGCCCTTCCCCAAACCCACCTTTTCTCAAAATGCAGCCCTGCCCAAACCCAGCCCTTCCCCAGAGGAAGCCCCTCCCCAAACCCACCTTTTCTCAAAATGCAGCCCTGCCCAAATGGCAGTGTGTCCTAAAACACATCCTTTCCAAAAACGCACAACCTTTTCCAACAGGCAGCTTTTCTCAAAAGGCAGCAGGAGAAAAAGCCAACTGATTGATTCTGGCCAGCTGGGGAGCAGCGCTTTCCAGAATCTCCAGAAGGGAAGTCACTGCTAATGGTGCCTGCACTCCCCCTGGCAGTGGTCCTCCGGACCACAGGAATCCTCAATAGCCCTCATCTCTCTGTGGCTGGTGGCAGGGGCCATGCTCTGCTCCAGCCCTGCTGGCTCTCTGGAAGGGGGCGTAATTTGGATCCAGAGAGGAGACAACCTGAGAGTCTTCAATCTTTTGAGGCAACTGCAAAGGACCCCCCCTCACTTATGCCTGGGTGACAGAAACCACTTCAAATTTCCCTGGAATAGGGGAACAGTCCCCCAGATGCACAGGACACAACGCACCTGTCTGCACCATCAGATGCTCCTGCAGATGTTCACCCTCTTCAGCGCACAGAGCAGCCTTGCTGCATGGGACCACACCCTCCTCTCCCAGCTCCTCTCCAGCCTCCACCAAGGCCTGGAGCACCTGGAGCACCTGGAGGAGCACCTGGAGCACCTGGAGGAAAGGGAAGGAGAAGATCGGGCTTGTCCCAAGGTGGGAATTCTCCTGCGGAAGTATTTCCAAAGAATCCATAACTACCTGAGAGGGAAGAACTACAGCATCTGTGCCTGGGAGGTCCTCAGAGTGGAGGTGACAGTCTACCTTTCAGTCCTGTAGCAATACTCAAGGGAAAGTCAACAATAAATGCTCAAGAAATTTATCCTGATGACTCTCTCCCTTCAACTGCATCGTTTGCTGATCCCCAAACAATCTCCACTCACATTTCTGCACCACCTGAGAAATGCCTGACACCCAAACAAAGGGGTTATTATAAAAATACTTCATACATCATGAATTTACAAAATGATGTTTAGAGAGAGGTACATGATCTGCTTTCTTAAATAAACAATTTTATGACATAATTTTTTTTATCTGCTTAATCTTTTGGGAGGCAAGTGTTAGAGGAGGTATGTCCTATTTCTTTATCTTTACTCTATTTGCACTAAGTATTTTTTTGGTGAAAAAAACCAACAACCACCAATGTTCTTGTTAATCATCATCAAGAACAACACTGAAAGTGATTGCAGAAATTAAAACCTGCAGGAGAATGCTTGGATGTCACTGGTTAGAGTTCCCAGCTTCATGGACCTTTAGATTCTATCGAAGATCAATCCCACAACCTGTGCCCTGACTGTGAATCGGACCTTGACCTGCTGGTTTAAGGGTTGATGCTCAACCACTGAACCACACCGGCTAGGCAAACATCAACTATTACTAGTTTTTCAGCTATTATTAAACAGAACAATATTCTCTTTGAATATCTTTCAATTGTGAGTTTGATATCCTTTCACTCATTAGTAAAAAATTTACCTAGAATTTTTATCTAGGAAGCAGAAGAGAGAAAGTTGATACAAGATAAAGACTGTGAATGAATAGTCTCGTTGTAACCTGAGAGCTAGTGACATTTTATTTATTCCAATGGATCCGTTTTGGTATAATTTGAAATGAATTATTATAATCAGGACAATATTGTTATTAAGGCATTTCATCGGGAAGGAGGCATGAATTGCTAAGGTAGCAGGAGGGCCTGCCATTGGGGAGGGATCTCTCCTCTCTTCCTTAGGGAACACACTCAACATTTGGATTCCCTGCTCTGCAGTTCGGTGTTACTCAGGCCTCAGTGCAATTTCCACAGACTCCTGTGCCTTGTTGTCTTGTCCTCCCCTCCACCAGGCAGAAAAACTTAGGAGACAGCCAATACTTGGAAACACGTGTTTCCCAGACTGTAGGAATCAGTATTTTCCAAAAACAGAGCCAAGAGGTTGGGAACCCTAGAAAGAGTTGCATGTCAAGTTCAGAGGCAGTCTGCAGGCAGAACTTCTCTGATTGTGGGAGCTCAGTGTTTTTCTGCTAAGGCCTTCTACTGATAGGATGGGGCCCACCCACAGAATGGAGGGCAACTGCTTTCCTCAAATCCACTCATCCACATGGTAAATGCCTGTATCCTCAGGTTAAACACACCTTCCCAGAAACACCTAGGATAATTTTTGATGAAATATCTGGTTACTGTGGCCTGGCTAAGCTGACACATAAAATTAACTGTCACACTGCTTAACGTTTTTCAAATATTTTCTCTCCCAGTGTTTAATGGTTGCTTAATTTTTACTTAATTTTTAACTTGATTTTCCTTATATTGTTGGTGAGGAAATCCTGAGATCAGGTGCCATTCAGCCACAGTGCTAGGAAAGTCTCTGTGACCACGTCCTGCTTCATAAACAGAAGATAGACAATTTTTTTTAAAGATACTTTATTGATTGTTTACAGAGAGGAAGAGAGAGGGATAGAGAGTTAGAAACATCGATGAAAGAGAATCATCGATCAGCTGCCTCCTGCACACCCCCCACTGGGTACATGCCTACAACCTACAACCAAGGTACATGCCCTTGACAGGAATCAAACCCGGACCCTATTCACTGAGCCAAACCGGTTTCGTCAGAAGTTAGACATTTGTATACAAATTTATTTTAATTTATTATTCTTGTTTGTTGTATACATTTTTAAATAACCAGCAGTTTCTTTTGTAAATTAGCTACCTCTTATGAACTTATACTGCTCCTCTGAGTCTCCTCTCTCTTTCAAAAATCTAATCTTTCTGTCATTTCTTTTTCCCCCATCAAGACACTTTTAAGGCCTTTGGTATGCGAGGAGATTTGAGATTGATTTCTTCTTAGATGGCTAGCTAGTCATCCTAGAACTATTTATTGGAAAGTTCTTACCACCATGTTAATATCACATATATCCTTTATCATAACTCTAATGAATACAGATAACACCATTTCAGAGATTTTGTGCTGTTATCATTTGCTTGCCTAATCTCTCCCTTTATCACACTGTTTCTGCAATCTCCCTGCAGGTCCTAGAGGAGACTGAGACGCCAAGCATTCTTCTGTCATTTAACATTATTTGGTTAAATTGCTATTTCATCCACAGTGTAGACAGCTTCAACATGGCGGAAATCGCTGGCTCTTTGGGATGCAGGGACAACAAAATTGCAATGAGTGCCATAGTCTGGGACAATTCCTTCATAAGACTGAAGAATGAAACCGAGTCCAAAATGTACCTTCCACATCATTTTTTTTTTTTAGGGAGAAGATATTTCTCAAAAGATTTAACCGTCCCCATGTTATAGTTCCAAGATGAAAATATTTTGCACAGGAGAATCTCCCTTAAGTCCGACTTCCTCTGTATGACTTTGCATCAGCATTTCCCATAGACGTGTCGTTTCCTCACATCAATCATGACATGTGTACATCCGCAAGAAGAAAACATGAGTTACTAAAATCCCTCTGATGATATTTTATATTCTGTATGTAGAATAGCTAGGCATTAAGGCTGAGGAGGTTAGTCAGGAAATGTGTGTGAATTGCTCAGAGGCAGGGATCTCTCAAATCTCTGCTTCAGGTTATAGACACAGTCTTCAGATTGTTTCTCTCCCATTGATGGCTTAACGGGCTCTAATTGACATGCCAAACCCTTGCATTTCTTTCTTCCTCCACCACATGGTGTGAGGGTGGACAGCACATAGGCTCAGGACTACAAAGAACACTATCTTTTTTACTCACCTGGCTCTGACTGTGATTCACAAACAACATTCAAATATGATGACCTCTTGGACTCTTTGGTTGATTTTATTTTCATTGTAACTATATTTTTTGTCACTTTTCATGATACTATTGCGATGCAAATGTTTAATGATTTGGTTCCTTCTGGTCACCTTGCCTTGAAAATCTCTTTAGCCACAGCCTGTTTCATATCCTAGAGTTGTGGAGGGTTTTGTGTTTTTTTTTTGAAAGGAGGAATTGAAACTGTCATTATCTGAAGATGACATGATATTGTACATAGGAAACCATACAGACTCCACAAGAAAATGCTAGGTTTCATAAGTGAATTTGGCAAAGTAGGAGGATACACAATTAACACTGAGGGATGTGCTGTGAGGGATCGGGGTGCAGCACCAGGTGGAAGCAGCTGAGGGTTTCCAGAGTCAAGGGCCAGAGAGTAAAGGTGGCCAAGGCTCTTGGGGAAAAGGGGAGAGGGGGATGTGGGAAGAGACTGAACATAAACTGTGCACCTATGGATGAGGACAATGGGGGGTGGGGAAAGGGCAGAGGGTGGGGTAAGAAGGGGGGGGGAAGGAACATTTGTAATAATATGAACAATAAAAATTTATTTAAAAAAAAAAAAAAAAAAAAGGTGGCCAAGGCTCCACCCTCCCTGCCAGCTGACTCCTGGGCTGCAGCTGTCCAGACCCTGATTGCAGTCTCACACAGAAACGCAGTCAAGGCATGGAGCCAGGTCCACACACGACTTGGGACAGAATCCAGGAGCTTATCATGCCTCTTAGGCGGTCCCCCCTCTGATTCCACCAGGAGGAGGCTGCATCATGCAGGACTCTCATCTGCTCAAAAATAGACAGAGCACACCTAGGGGCAGGAAGGAGATGGAAGTCAGCAGGGGCTTGAGAACTGGGCAGAACAGAGACAGGTAAAGCCTGGACTGGAACAGGCAGGTCCTCAGGAGGAGAACAAGGGGAAGGGCCTGCACTGAGTCACCTGTTTCTGCAGATCATTCTGGATCCAGGGGGAGAAGGTTGAAGTGGATGCTGAGAGCAGAGCTCTCCCACAGAGATAGGGCCAACAGCAGTGTCCTCAGCACAGGGGACTCTGACCCCACAGCAGCCTGCTGGGAATTGGAGGGACCACAGTTACTTCAGAGCCAGTGACACACTTGTTTTGATTGTCAGAAAATTCTACTCTTTAAAACTATGTAAAAGAAATGTCGTCTTCTTTTCCTTAGAACTTAGAGTCAGTCAGTTCTGTGTACTCAGACCACACTGGTGATGTCACACAGAACAATAGACACAAATCCACTGGCATTTGAAGTGGAACTTTGAATCCATTATTATCCCTCTCTCCCTGCTCAGAGCTATAATGGCGTGGCCCCTCCTTAATTCATAAATCCCACGTCCAATTCTATCCTTGGCTCCTTTTAACAGGCTCTTTCAGACTACCTAGTGTCTCAGGGTTTGACCTTGGATTCTTAGTACCTTCCAGATAATTCTTCGCTCCAGATTTATACTGCAAAATAGTGATATACACAAGTTTAATGCAAATAGGGATATGGAGAAGGTTGAATTCACCATTTCAAAGATCTTAGAACAGTGGTTGTTCCATAGTTAGCATGCAATAAAATTTCATTATCATTTAAAATATCAATATAATTATTATTTCAAGTAAGGACAGACTCTTAGATCATCAATTCCATTTCTCTCAAATCCACATTCTCAAGGCAATCTTCCAGCAGCTGAGGGGATTTATTAACCAGATGAAGCAGGTACATCAGGTTAATATCCACTAGGCAGCAGGGAGGGTCCTGCTCCAACAGGGGGTGTCATGGTCCCAGTCTTCTGAGAGTTGGTTCCGTCTTCAGAGCTGATCCCATGAGCATTAAATGACCGGATAGTGACCCGGCTGGTCACTGGCCCAGGAGGCCCTGTTCTTTGGGCCTCTGGCAGAGGCAGCCCATCTCTGCAT